GTTAAGATGAAGAGTATAGCTTGTGACATATTACAAAATATTTTGAGATAACATACTTGGCACAGGAATGAACCTGAGGAAAGTGCTTATTTTCTTGAAGTTAGGGTGGGAAATATAGAGGCACAGGAACAAATTCAATCTTTTATGGTTTTGGGGTAAAGAAGTGGTAGAGAAGAAAGCAAAAACCCTTACTCAAGGTAAGTCTTGTAACATAAGCTACGTAAAATTAGATCTAAATGTGTGCAGCAAAGCTTTATTCATACTCTATATCTTGATGAGAATTTTGTAACTATATACTTTAGTGGAGGGAGATGAAAGCAAAGCAACCTTATCTTAAGTGCAGCTATAATTTTGGGTTTCGCTGTTGAACATTGAAGGGTGGAGGCAAGGTGGTGTATACCATTAGAAGGTTAGAATACTTCTTGTAACGCTTCTCTTCCTAGCGTACTGCACCCAGGAAGTATCGAAAAGAAGGTGAATGGTGTCCTGGGCTGCATTAAGGAAGGTGATCCTTCCCCTCTGCTCAGCACTGGTGCAGTCACACCTGGGGTGCTGGGCTTCTCGGTATATGAGAGACATGGGCATACTGGAGGGAGTCAGCAAAGGGTCATGAAGATGATGAGGGGACTGGAGCATCTTTCCTGTGAGGAAAGGCTGAGAGAGCTGAGGTGGTTCAGCCTGGAGAAGAGGAGGCTCAGGGAATCTCATCCATGTACATAAATACCTGAAGGGAGGGTGCAAAGAGGATGGTACCCATCTTGGTACCCAGTGACAGGCCCAGAGGCAATAGACACAAACTGAAACACAGGAGGTTCCCTCTGAACATCAGGAAATAGTTTTTCACTGTGAGGGTGACTGAACACAGATACAGGTTGCCCAGGGAAGTGGTGGAGTCTCCATCCTTGGAGATATTCAAAAGCTGTCTGGACATGGTCCTGGGCAACCAGCTCTAGGTGGCCCTGCTTGAGAAGGTGGGCTGGGCCAGTTGGCCAGAGATCCCTTCCCACCTCAACCATTCTGGGAGTCTGAAAAGTATCTAATTCTCAAAACTATTATTAAAACAGCAACCTAATGCGGAAATTATTTTTTACAGTGATGCTGTTGATCTGTTGTCAGTGTTGTCTTAAAGTCTGTGTGAAAATAATACTTTTTTTAAAAGACCTTAACTTGCAGTGGTTCTGAAAAGGAAACATTAGTACACAACAGGCTATCTTACATCTGGGTAAGATAATGATTCACTTTGACAAAAGTTTCATTTTTGACACAGTCACAGTCTTTTCTGAAGAGAAGAGGAGTTAGTTTTGTTAATCCTGGTGCTTGAAGAAAGAGTGAAAACTTCTGAATGAGCATATTCGCCTCCTGTAATTTAATTGCTTGAATGTTCAGGAATTAACACACTATTTTGAAAAACTTTATTTCTCAATTTCCCCATGAAATTAAAGAACCTGTATTTTGTTACTGGTGGAAGAACTTTAAGCTGAAGCCTCAGGTTAAATCCTTGGAAGGGGATGAATGTGACAGTTTTGTTCTGCTTTCTTTTGAGATGTGAACAGAAACTTTTAAATTCCTTTAAAGGGAGAGGGGCAGGATATATGCCAGTCAGCCTAGTTGAATTTTAACTAGTGTTTAAAGAACCTCAATAAATCATAGCAATAGGCAGGCTAAGAAAAAGAGTTTATATGGAACTGAGTGACATTGGTGTGGCACTTGGTTATGACAAAGTTGTCTTTCTGTATTAACTTTCATATGGTGAAAGTCATGATGTACTAAAAAAGTCTGAAGCTCTCATATATGTGTGCTTGCCTTGCCTGGCAGGCTTAATAAGAATGAATAGTTTTTCTTCTCTTGTTAATGGTTGCTCTTACCTTTCTAGAGCTTTCATCTTTTGGGCTTGAGGTTGCTATGATTGCATTCTTCTTGAAATTGAATTTGTATGAAAAATAGTTCAACGCCATTAGAAGAGATTGAGAAGTGTTATTTAAAATCAAAACTGCCTTCCAGAAAACATAAATAACAAATAGTACTTGGATTTTCTTTTCTTTTTTCCTTTCAAGACCTTTTTAGCATGACTTGGTAAAAATCAGATGTAGGAATAGCCTTCGTTAAGACTAAATGCTTTTGGGTGTAGTAGAAATTTTAATATTAAACTAGTTTAAAAATCCTTTACTGATTACATGCAGGACTTCTGTGAATAATCTTAAGGTAAGAAGGTTGTGGATGTGTAATAAAAGTGAGCAAGATGAAAAATTCATGAAAGTGAGTGGTAAAGTGGAGGTTTTTAACCTTGTTCAAAGTATGGCTGATGAGCACTTCCTAAAGCAAGAGCTGCCCAAGACCAGTGAGAGAAGCTTTGTTTTTTCAGAGTCCTGGTTCATGTAAAGTACCTTTGCACCTGGAACAAGACTTGGTGTAGTAAAAGCATAGTTGATGTTCCTAGGCTTTGTTTGCCCTGTGCTTTCAGAATGCTGAACAATGTGTTCTGTTGCAGTGTCATGTGCGCACTGCATGTTTTAGTGATCAGACCAGCATTGATATTCATCATCATAGTCACCTATTCCCGTTACAAGTCTGTTGACTGAATGTTTAACTCCTGTACTTGAAGAGGTAGAATAATGATGCCGTAAAAGTGCTTGTTTCCAAGTTTAAGTCATATGTTTAACCATCTTTGATGCCAACACAGATCTCAATATCATGTTTATCCCCATTAACTTTTGCATTAAAATTATTATGAAAATCTGGTGTTATAAATAGATGTTATCACTATTTTTATCTACTTCTGGACAGATTTTGTGCGAATCTGAAAGGTTCCCTTTAAGAATTTCCTTCCTAAACCACTTTGTCTTATAAGGATCAGTATGGATGTATCAAATGCCAAGAAAAGATGCATAATAGGGGTGGTTTTTCAAGTATTTGTGAAAAACTATTTAACTTCTTTCCATTGCTTAGTCTGGAATAGAATATGACATGAACAGTTGAGCTACTATAATCCAGAATTTTATTTTGATGTATTCTTATCCTTATTTTGATGACGGTGGACAGTAGGATGAACATCCCTGAACTCGGGTAAGACTGTTAATTTAGTGTGGGTCTCCTGAAATGTTACCTTGTTTTCTAGAAATAAGTAAACTTTGTTTCACTAGAGGCATCTGTTTTGTCTAAAGAATTTATTGTTGCGCACTGACCTTTTAGGGAGAGTTATATTATGTCAGTTCAGTATATTTAGGAACATGAGACATGTGGCATCAAAATAAGGGAAGAGCATATAGCAAACCACTTTTTTCATTTAGGTCTTGAAAAAGCTGAAGGTTTACGTAGTATTTACATTTGTACGTATATTACACATACTGTTCTAGGACATCTGCATGTTCTGCTTCATGTAGTACTAAATACTTGTACTGAGTGAAGAGTTGTATCAGAGAATCCTGAATGATTGCTGTAGCAATGATGCACAGATAATGGAATTAATACAGGGGGGAATAAAGCATTGAGGGATTGAGTGTGGTGTTGAGAGGGTGTTGTTTGCAAATACCTGCTAAAGTACCTAAATTTTACCAAAACTTTCTTCGAGTTACTTTTCTAATAGTGCAGGCTGTCTTTTTTTACAACTTGCTTTCCACATGAGAACTACTTTGCACAGTTTATTCATTCTTTTAGATACAAGCGTTAAAAGCTGCAGCTTCTGGTGAAGTCAGTGGTAGTATGAAAACTGAAAGCGTTGAGAAACTTGAATTGCAGTAGGTTCATAGTTCTACCATATTGGATAATACTCCAGCTTCTGTTGGTTCTCCCCTTTTTTCTTTCTTTTTTTTTTTAACCAAATTTACTCCAGAATATTGATCTTTCTGGTCAAGAATTAGACGAAATGTCCTTGAAGTGTAATAGCTTCTTGCCACCTGCCACCAACATTGAGATTGGCCGTGGAAAAATGTAAGCATAAAGAATAACTCCAATGACCAGTTTTGAGTCTTAGTCTGTGTCTAGACTACTAAATTAAACTTGCCTGGAAACTTTCCTTGATGCTTAGGGCCAGCTGGCACAAAATGGCCTGTTTGTGCTGGTGTACGCTCACCCGGTAAAGCAGAGGCTGCATGCAAACTGTCTATTTGAAGGGATCTCAAAACTTTTCACTGCTGAATAGTGTCTGGAAATTGGCTGAGAGACTCCTGGTTGATGCGGGCCAAAAGCATGCCGGGGAATATTTTAGCAAATTACTGGTCGTCTCTCTCAGTGATGGAGTATACTTCCTGACCTTGCCTTGCTTTTCTTCTCACACTGTTTCTTCCTGTTGGGAGACTGGTCAAAGAAAATAATAAGCAGGAGTAAGAAGAGACACTCTTAAACTTCTCTGTCAAAGCAGTGGTAGCTCTTAGAGCAGCACTGCCTCACGTAGTCCAGTGTATTGCTAGCTCATGTCTCTAGAAGAATGTAGGAGAAGCAGGTGGAGCCTAGGAGGAATGTTGAGAGGGTTTCGGGTGTCCTGCTGACTTCTGAGAATCTTATGATTTTGCTGAAAAGTCTGAGAAGGTTCTTTTGTTTTTTAAAAAGAATCTGTCAAATGGTATACCAATTTGAGTATTTTTCATTGGAAAAGTTTCATGTGATGATAGTGTATAATAAAGGGAGGGGTTGTTTCAGGGGTACAGTGTGAAAGAATGTTTAAAGGAGATAAGTAATTGGCTTGTCTAACATTTTGACAACGTACAGGAAGAGAACCATTACTTTGGTAGACCCTCCCAAGTTAGAAGAAATTAGTGAAGATAGTGTTTTCTTTTATTATACAGTCATTTTTTGTTTGTACTGCTCTTGTGCAAAATGCTTTATTTTACTAAATTTTTTTGTCAGCTACAAACTACCGTCTGCTTAGAGTATTTATTAAATGGAGAATGAGCACAGGTTTCATAGTCTGTTCTTAAAACTTTTGAAATGTCATCCTCGGTACCCTCACTTAGTTTTTTTTATAGCTTTATTTAGATGTACACTTTTGTCTTTTATTTTTGCAGAGGATGACAAATAGCAGCAGCTCCCCTAGCCTTCTCAATGACAGTGCCAAGCAGTACGCAGGCCATGGTAAGTACTTTTAAAGGAATATGTATAAAAGTATGTTTGGAAATTTGAGAGATTTACTTTGGTAAAACTGAGACTTAAGACAGTATTTTTTTCTCTTCTGATTTGATTTGAGATGCAGTAGAACTTTATTTTTTAACGGTAGTGTATTGTGTGATTACTTGTAATCCAAAGCAAAGCGCTGCTGAATTTATTAATTTTCAGCCTTTCCTTTGCTCCAGTAGCAGGGGCAATCATTATTGGTCTTGTCGCTTCAAGTGAAGTGCTAGTTTGGGTATTCCACTGTAAAGCACTGATTGCTTAAATAAGCATTTACATTGCTCTACAGTGGTATCCCTTTTTATTATGCTTTTCAAGTAATTTGTGTGGAATGAATGTACAGGTTTTTATTCTTAAATTTAGGCTCTATGTTTTTTGTGAAATGTATCACACGACTGATTTTTAATAGTTATTAAGTGTTGTCCTGTAAGCAGTACTTCACGTCTTATATTTTTTTTCCCTGATTTTGGGAACACAGTTTTCAACCGAACAAAATATCTCCGTAGCTCAGGCCAACATACCCGCTAAATTACTGTGGAGGGTATATTTAACTTGCGTAATACACTTTTTAGAATTGCTTTCCAAATTATAACAGGCACTGCAGATTGTTTCAGCTATAGCTGTCAAACTAACTTCTTTAAAGAAGAGGATACTACTCCCTTATGGCAAGGACATATATTTAAAACATATTTCTGCTCTAAAAATTTCTGTGTAAATGATGTTCTAGAAATCTATTTGCATGTCTGACCCTGCAGCCAGTCTACTTATAGGGGTGTAATTTTTTGAGCACAGTAGTAGCTACTATAAAACTAGCTTGCTTGAAAGTTGAAATTTGGTGGGTGGGGTTTTTTTTTTCTTCCTCCTGGTTCATTTCCAGTAGGTTTTGTGATTAACTCTGCTTTTTTTGTCCCACTGAACAATTAGCTATTCAAGGCAGTGGAGGTCTCCAGTTTTAAATGCAGTCAGAGTTTGTCTGTGACGGGCCAAATAGTGATGGTGATGCATGTGAAGGAGAGAAACCAGACTGACTTTTGGAAACCAGTTTAAATTCTGTTGTATCTCAGGTCCCTTTCTTCCCCGCATCCCTTCCCCTTTTCCCCTAGTTGTGCTTCACTTGTAGAATTACCCCTTTAAGGAGTATTGATTAATGTTGAAGAAAGTGTTTTATCAAAACACCAATTTTTACAGCTGGCAGACATCTGCTAATATGATGTCTCTACCTCTACCAGTTTGGAGTTTTAAGTTGCATCTGTGATTGTCCTTCAGTTTTTGGTGCTTCAGCTCTGGAAGGGACATATAAGGATAAAGAAAAAACAATAAAAAGCTACTAATAGAACACAGACTCTTGCTACCTTTAGTTCTGATTTAAATTTTTGCAGAACAGTGACAGGACAAATAAGATTCATGTCATTACTTGTAAGACTGTGTTATAAAGAAGATCACTAATTTCAGGTAACTAGAGAGGAAGCTTTTGAACTGTTAGATGGACATTAAATAATGCCGACAGCAATTAAACTTACTAACTTCTGCTAATGAGCTCCATTTCAATTGAGCAGTTGCACAGAGTAATAAATGCTGCATTTTTTAGCAGTTTGGTTGCTGAACTTAGTTTTGTCTAAAGAATTTTTTCCATACAGAAATAAGTTAAAAAATGTAAAAATTCAATATTAGAGGTATATAACATGTTGCTTTACATTCTTTCTATAGATCCACTAACTTCACCAAATTCATCCTTGTTTAATGACTTTGCTGCCCTGAGTGTGTCTCAAAGGAGGAAGGTAGGCGACAACTAAATTTTAAGTAGCATATTTGTATATGAGTTGATAGGGAAGAAGATCTGGAATAACTTGAAATCCTAGGTGAAATAAAGATGATTCTTCTGATGTTACTAGATTTATTTTACTATGTCACAGCAATATAAATAAGATCTTACTACTTCATTTTTGCTACACCAGATCAGCCTGCTGCTGCTATTAAATATTCCAAGCACTTGTAAACTTCAGTTTACAAGGATGCTTTGAATATGAAAATTAGCACATAGCCCATTGAATTTGAAAACAAATTATTTTTATTGTACTGAGGCACAAGGCAAGCCACCTGCAAGCCTTTGTGGCAACAAGTTCTGAATGCATCAAGAATCATTCCCCCATTTCTTTATACATGATGTGAAAGTAATTCTTAGTTTGAAATGCATTTAGTTTGAAATACACTCTATAATATTACTGGGAATCTAGGGTTTGAGATTTTTTTCCCCTGTAATCTGTATTGAGAAATCTTTCTTTTGCTGATGGCTAGCCAGCATCTTCAAACACCTTTGACCTGTGCCAACATTGGTTGTGATGTTTTCCAGTTAAACACTGACAAATGCAGTGGCTGGAATAAGAGACAGAAGTTTGGTTATACCAAAGTTCCTTCGCGTTTTTGTGAACTGTGGCTTATCAAAAGAGACATTATCTTGTCCCAACCACTTACCAAATTTTCCTTTCGCTGATGACTTTCATGTTTTACTACTTTTCTTATTAGCCACGTGATCCTGAACTTTTTTCTAGTCTTGAAAGCACACTACATCAACATGCTTCTAATTTTTCGTAGAGCTTCATTTGTGTGTTGGCAATTGGGAGCTCTATCTCATTCCTGCAGGTGAAGATTGAGCATAAAGATAACTACTATAGTTTCCCCCATCAGACTAGTGTTCCTTGAAATGAAATGCTGTTGTAGAATGTTAACTTCTGAATATTATGATGTATCCAAACTACATGGAATCTCTGAATTGCCGTTTTCCTTAATGCCAGTATAGTGGACTGGAAAGTTGGATATAAACAACTATAAATATGTTGTTTATGCACTTACTGAGGATAGTAAGAATGAAAATAAGCATACATTCCTTTTTAACATCTGTGTGCATATATACGCGCGTGTGTGTGTATGTGCAGGTGTGTGTACTTGTGTATATAAAGCACATGCACCACAGAAAATGAACTGTCATGCAGAAGTATTTCCAGAGTGACCACTGCCTGTAATACTAAAAAGTACTTCCAAGTTAATTAAACAGTACAAACGGAAACAAACCAGTTAACGTTTGAGTGGAAAGCTCAAATAACTAAAGCTCAAATACTAGAGTCTTTTCTGACTTGATCCCCTTTTCCCCCAAGAAAAAAATCAGCAAACTAAGCCATTTGCTGCTAAAATAGTATCAAGAGAAAGATTTATCTGTGAAACTGATTGACTTGGATTTTTTCCAATTAATAGTTCAGACATAACTGGCATTAATTGAAAGAGGTTTGCATTTTGCTTTGCATATTAATAATTTATAATTTATTATGACTGCTATTTTGTAATGTGTGTTTGTATAAAAGATTGTTAAATAATACTAGGAATGGGGAAGATTTCATCTAATATTACTTGAGCTGTCTAAAATCTAGGCATCCAGGCTCCCTCTATAGTCAGTAGAGAGAGATGAGCAGCTTAAAGGAACGTTCAGCTCACATTGGGAAGTGTGTTTTGGAAAAGACTAGATGTCAGTGAATGCTTCAAGTGGATAAAAATTGATGGCTAAAGTTATGAGAAAGTAATCACGCTTTTGTGACTGACTTTTACTATCAGACAATACATTGCAAATAGTTGTGGATGTAGTCTTAATATTTTTAGGGGTTTTTTGAGAAAAACATTCAAATTATATTAAGTGATTTCCTCAAAAGCACTAAATGCTTGAGTGCCGGGTATTTAAAAACTTGTGTGATTCCTCCCACCCCAGTAACTGGGGTTTATTTAGAGCTTGAGCAATGTGATTTATCAGGCCAGCGCTTGACACCTGCTGTAATACAAGATATATGGCCTTCTAGAAGTGCATGCTTCTGTTTGTTGACTCTAAAGGGAGCCTTGGTGACTAGCTCAAATGTAGGTGTTTGCAACATCTACTGTTTGAAAGAAAACTTTCAATTTTCTTGCTAAGAGCCCAGGGCTAAGGTTTTGTTTGTTCTGAACTAGCTGGCAAAACCAGCATTTCCTTCGTTTATCACTGACTTGGAGGACAGATATAATACAGTCTTGGTAAGTGAATAAAGAGCAATTGCTTTCCTTTACAAATTAAAATTGTGATATTTTAAGTATTTAGAACTACTAAGTTTTTTGCAACTATGTAAAAACTGCATGTTTGTATTGTGTAAAACCATGAATAGTTTCTCTAAAAGCATGTTATACGTAGCTGTGTTAAGCAAGGAACTTAAGTTTATGAATCTTTATTGTCTCTGGATATTGCTGGTCATGTTATCCTGGCAGCCCTTTAACAATGGGCAAGCCGTGTGGATGTAAATATTTGATATCGATAAAGTATTAAAGATAAGACTTGATGATTGTAATTCTGAATATGCTTGCTTTTTAGACTGCTTTTTTGAAACTAGTTAGTATAACTGGGCTATTTAAGTTGCTTATGATTATTTTGATGTTTAAAGACATTCTAATTTTTGTTTAAAAAGTAAACATAGTCCTTGAATTTTTATGAACATTCTCGAGGTTATTTTCTCTGTTTAGAAATCATTAAACTGCATTTCAATTTTAGATTTCAGGAAAGCTAAGATTACTATTTAAAGACATTTTTATAGGATACTTAAAATGAAATCAAAGGAGCTAAGTATTTCTGTAGATGGAGCCTTGGTGGAGGTTCTGTCAACTGTAAAAACCTTCTGGATTTACTGTCCGGTTGTTGTAACTCCACATGCAGTAAGACAAGCAACCTTAAAGTGAATTTCCTATAAGAGATTTTCAGGTAAGTATTAATCTACAATGCGCAAATAGGATTTGTGAAGCATGGAACAAAAGCTAGAGTTAGTAATAGACTAACCCTCTTTCCTGAGAATAATGATGTCACACTTACTTCATTTTTTCTTCAAATACATGTTATGCTTGCTAAAAATAGGGTGGCATTCTGAACTTGAACTTCTTGGATGTTTTTCCTAAATTGGCTTTTGCCATTATCCAGAAAAATGCTCCCCTCTAAACCCTGAAATGATCTGGCTGGAAAACTCCTTGCATTCATTTTGGTGGTTCTGGTAAACAGTTCATAAAAACATGTGCAACATAACTAATCAGAATCTGTTGCCAAGGGAATGACAGCCTAATGCACTAAAAAGAAAATACATGGTGAAACTTTTGTTTAAATTTGTTCTGAGACTGTTGCCACCAATCCAGGCTAAAAGGTTCCCCTGCTTGTCACTGGTCAGCCTTACAGGATAGTGAAAAGCATTGCTTTTACATTTTACTTTGTTTTTTCATACCTTCAATCCTCATGAAAACTGAACTCTTCTGAAAAGTTCCTAACATTGGTTTATTTCCATTTCATTTTTTTAATTGTTCAGTCCCACCTAGAGGAGGGTCATTAAGGTGAGAACCACTGTTAATCCACAGGCTGCAAGGAGTGAACCAACTGCTGTAGTGAACAACTTTCAATACAATTGAATATGGTTCATATGTATTTTGAAGAAATCTGTTGTTTTTTTTTTTTAGAACACTTCCCACTGGGTTTAGGTGAGTAAAAGCCAGGACCAAAGACTCTAAACTAGAGTAGAATGGGAAGTATAGGAGAGATTATTTGGACTGAAGTTAACAGGGTGCTGCTGTTTAATGCTCTGTGTGGAGATCTGGGCAAGTTAGACTGGACAGCAGACTTCTTTAATTCATGTACTTCGATCAGCAGTAGTAAATGTGCAGAGAAAATCATATTGAAACAGAAGACTGCCTGTAAGCCTAGTCTGCATAAATGCAAGGTTTTTTAATGAGTACAAGGAGAGTTTCCCCTCTCATGTTAAAGGAAAACAATAATGCTAACTTCATGTCCTGTGGAAACCAAATTCTTAAGACTATTGCTAGCTTATTTTTGAGTGTCCTGTCCTCCATCTAGTTTTGTTACCCGTTAGGAAGCTATATTTCTTTCCAGCTTCCTGTCTCCAGCCCTGTCTTGACACCTCTGATACCTGATCTTTATATTGCTCAGTGGTGTTCATTGAAAAGCCGTGTGTGCCATGTTTGGTCTTGCTGTATTTACCTTCAATGAAAATGTACTGGACAGTTGTTTCGTGTTTCATAGCCTCCTGAACCATCTCAGAAGCATGAATCATGTTCTAAGAAGTTGAAGGGTCATTTCCAAATGCCACATCATGTCACTGTGTTGTAAACTGTAGAATTATGGCTATGCAGACTTTGTAATGTACCTGGGCTAAATTTATGTTTCAAACTTGAAATTTTCCTTCTGGTACTGTACACCGCTACTGCAATAACAAAACATTACAGTTTACAAGTGATGCAAAAAAAGTTGTTGCAGGAATATGGGAAGACAAACTATGCTTCTAGAGAAAACTAATAAATGTTTGCAGGTAGTGTGATGTTTACCTTGGTCTAAAATGTACTTTTTAAGGGTATGATATCATCTAACCTGTTTTACATTTTTCTTTGGAATACTTTGTTGTTGGACTTGTTCCTTGGTTGTGTGCTCTCACTGTCTTAGTAACTACTATGTAGTATGTTATTTTTCATTTTCAAGTGTGACATGAGAGAATATATTATTCACTTTGATTTTTATGTATGGATTAGTGATCATTGTGTTATGTAAGAAATTAAATTATTAAAACATTTTCTTTTAGAGATATGTAACATTTTTACATTTATGAGGAGTCATCATATTGTTGTTGCCTCATCCTATTGTGTATTTGAAGGAAAAGAGAGGAATAAGATGACTGCATAGCGCAGCACTTGCCATGGAATTGTATTAAAAAGACCTTTGCTTGTTTTGGTTTTGTATCTAAGCAGGTCAGATATATGTTATGACCTACAGACATCTCAAACTTTAAATGCTACCCTCACTCCCCATTTTTAAAGTGTAGGTTGTCAGTTAGCCACCTAGACTTTGTCAGGTGCAGCTTACAAGCTGAAGCAGTTAACTACAGATTTAACTTTAATGTGCAAGATGCTTTTGCATATATTTACAAGCTTTATTTGGTTCTTTCTATGCCAAGGTGTATGTAGTCCTTAACAGTGATTTGCAGAAAGATTTTTTTTAAACTTGTGCACACGTTTATTGAAGACCCTATACAAATATTTAAAGCAGCTAGAAAATACACTATTTTTGAGAAAGCACATGCTTGGTAAAGACCATAGTAAAAGTAATATAAAAACTTCTGGCCTATTAGAAAAGAGATCTTTAAACATTAAAAAACTTGTGGTTTGCTCACTGTGTGCTCCTTTAGCAATGGAGTTTTTGAAAGAACATCTTGGGGCAGTGGTACTCTGGCAAGTCTTCACTACACAGAACTTTCTGCTCTAGTGATGGTGGAAAAAGCCTGTTTTCCCAACAGCTTATTTAAATTCAGCAGGTGGTATTAGTTTCTTAGCAAAGAACTTCGTCAGTAGACTATGTCCATGGTAGGTTTTAGCTGTTGTGGTAATGCATACTTCATCCAACCTAGCTAGGCTGCAAAATCTGTGAGAAAAGATTTGACTTAAAGATTATGTCAGTTTTCCTTAGCTCCTTGTGAACTTTTCAAGGTTCTCATGTCTTCAACATATATACTCATAGAATATGCTTTTCAGTATGTACACTTGAAAAGTTTTCCTTAGCTGTGATTTAAAATGCATGATGTAATGCCTGATCTGTTGCAGTTTTCACTCTAAAATCTGTTTGAACGAAGAATGTTCTTTTTCAGTGATCAAATATTTTGCTCTGGAATAAAGCCTATTTCCATGCCAAATTGTACATTATAGTTTTCTTTGGGTAGAAGAATCCTTTTTGTTTATCTCTAATACTTTTCAACTAGTAAAAGTTTTATCCCCAGCCAAACCCAGGGTTTCATGAACAAATTAAAATAAAGGGTTCCAGATGGAAGGGTGTGGCTAATTTGTAAGTGCACGTAATCTCAATGTATAATGTGATAAACTTTAAAATGATAAACATTATAAATGTTGGCATACTCTTCCTTTTTTTCATAAAAAAGAAAAAAAAAAAAAAAACAAAACAAAACAGCTCTACCAAGTAAGTAAACACAGACTTATTATTTTTAACTTGTTGACCAGGCTCCTATTCCATTTTTTTATGTATATCAAAGTAAAATAATTGGCTCAAACCTTCAGAGGTTGAGATACAGAAAACAAGTATCATCTGCCACTCTACCAGTGCGAGGTTGTAATGAAAGGGGAAGAGGAGAGAGTATCTTGGTTAGCAGCAACCCCAAACCATGTGAAGGGTTTTGTAGCTCTATTGGCCACAAAGCTTAAAAAGTAACAGCAAGACAACTTCTCATTTTCGTATTACCAGCTTGCAAATCTGTTGGGATGCTCCTGGTGACTGTACTAGTGTTCAGGTGTAACACCTTGTAGAACTTATCACTAAATCCAGTTACACAGTTGTACTCACAATTGAGATGCTTCTTAGCTGATTGTGCCTGTATAGGGATTCTGTCCAGACTGTTGCGGTTTTCCTCAATGACATATTGAAGTTCATATCCACAGCTGGGTGTTCCAAGTACTGTCTTATTCCAGCTAATTGGTTATGGCTGTTGGGTGAAAGTAGCAATGATGGTAGCAATGTTTTGTAGGTAGCTTTTCATTTTTAAGACAACAAAAGTTGGTTCTTTTTCCATAGATTAACACCCTAGTTGAGGGTTGAACCTCCTTTTCTAAAGAGGTTGGAACTCCTTCTAATGGTCTCTTTGCCACTTAACTTCTGTTAAAAAAAACAACACACTGAAGTCTTACAAAACAAGCCAATGTTGAAACTTAAAATTGCATACATTGCTTAATTTTGTTATAAGAAGTACGGGGAAAACATGTACCTGATCTTTCCTGTCTGACAGTGTAATATTTATTTTTATCTGTCTGTACATGCAGATACAGTCAACTCACTGTACAGCAGATGAGCCCTAGCTAATGCTACTATGATAGCTTTTAGCTATGGTAATTTAAGGTAATGTTGCTTAATTTAGCTTGGGATGGGGAAGGCTTAAGATCACTTGTGTTTGCTTCAGTAATACACACACATAGACAGCATTACTGTAGCTCAGATTTTTCACAATAGTTGAAGACACAATAGCCTGCTCATCTGTTTGTATGCCAAACTTAATTGTGCATTTTTTGGTACAGAAAAGGTGTTGTAAATCTAAAATTCAAAGTCCACCAGAGGTAAGTGCATTTTAAGGAACAGAAATGTAATTTGGGTCATGAGTGATCCTGAAAAAATCCAATTGCAGGTCTTCAGTGGAAGAAAACTTTGAAATTGTGTAGTTTGATTTGCCAGGCCATCCAGACTTAAATATTACATGGAAGTTACTAGACAGGAGGAGTCTTTATAGTTTGAATCTTCATAGACCTTTTCTTACGTAGACTTATTTCTCTAGGATAGTCTCATAACATCTGACACCAGTGGCATGTCCAACCCTGATTTGGAAAGAGGAACTGTGGCATTGCCCACTGTCTGTGAAACAGGAGGGACTAGTGGGAAAAGGACTGTTGCAGCAAATAGTAAGAAGAAAATAGACTTGCTAAACATGTTCCCAGACTTCATGTTGAATAAATGGGAAGCAAGTAATTAAGCTGACTTGAGGAATATTTTCTAGAGTGCGCTAATTAAGTTACTCATCTGTAGTAGCGTTCTGATGTGAAGATGCTACTCAGGAAGGATCCTTTTGGTTCTAGGGTGGATTTCTTCTGTTGAAGTGTAATGTTTCTCAGACTTTAGGGGTTTATCTTTCCTAGTATAACACCTTCCCTCTAATCATGCCAACCAATAGCTTCCTATCATTAATTGCTGGCAGCAGCTTGGTTCTACAGGGCAAGGGTTATAATTATTAGCTATGGTTGAAAATGCTTACCCTTCTCACCCTGGGGAGCCAAGTTGTTGCTAGCAATTAAAGGTAGTTCCCTGCCTCATGTAAACATTTGCAGCCAGTAATTACTGCTGCTTCTCACTTCTTTGCCCGGGAGGAACTTAACTCTTCCAGTAATACTTTGTAATAATTTGGTTTTGTTGGGTTTTTTCTCTTTCTTAGATTTCATTTTAATTATTTTGGTTTAACCGTATTTTTCCCTTTAAAATAACTGTGATGTTTTTGACCTTCACAACTCATTTGGAACTTGTAACTCTATTGGGAGTTGCAACCTAGTTTGAGAAATACTTGCTAAAGGATTGTGAAGTATTTAAATGCTTTAGCCACACCCCCCTGAAAAAAGTTCAGTATGTTGAACTATCCTTTCATCTGTATGGCTGAACAGGTTTTTTTACCTCGCAGAAAGACTTTAGGGAAGGCAAAAACTCAATTGCTTTTGTAATCATCTAAGAGCAATTGTCTCCATGCCAAGAAGTTGGGTTTGTTTGTCTAGATTGTCATGCCTCTGCTTTAGGTAGATATATTAGTTTAGTTCAGAAATGATCAGTGGTTGATGAGTTCTTGCTTGTTTCAAGATGCCCTATTCTGTTACTGTATTTGCTGCTCTGTGTAGAGGGCAGGGATGTAGCAAAGTTGATACACTTATTCAGACTGCTCAGTCTATTTGATCTTTCCTTTCTGTTGACTGTCTTCTCGTGGCAGACACTTTTTTCTGTGTTTTCTGGTCTCCTGTAAACTCAGACAGGATTTCTGAATCAGATGCCATTTTTCTCATTGAAAACAAGTGTAATTTAGAATGATTTTGATGCAAATAGACTGAAATTGATTTCCAAATGTTAATATTCTATATTCCATCTTCTAATGTCTGTCTGCACAATGAAATAGTAGCTTAGCAATCCCCTGACGATGTTTATAGTAAATAATGAAAGTAAAATTTTAATTTAGTCTCACCCACTTTTTGGTTTAATTTTTTCATACCAGTAGGCCCAGAACTATTGGTATATGAACTCATATTGTCTCTATGTTGCTTTATGGCAGAGAATTGACCATTCTTTGCCCTCCCTGACTGGTCCTTCATAAAGCCTAAAATACAGTTTCATTCTGTTGCCTGGAATCTGAGTCCCATTGTAACCAAAATATCCTCCCTCCACATTGGCTCAGTTCCTCTTTTGTTTTGAGTCTCCTTTTCAAAATATTTATAGGTCACCTTTTATGTAGGATTAAAAGAACCCTTTATGAATAGGAACGTGTTTGGAGACTGGGTTGTAGTCCAGTAGTCTGAGGCAGACTGGGCCCCTGCACTCGGTACAACATGGAGAGAGATGGGGAAGCTGCCAGGGAAACAGTTATTCTTCATTACGTTATAATTTCCAACAGCCAGGCAAGAAAAACACATCATGCGTTCAAACCCTGCCCTGAAGTCCAACATTATTTCTGTGTTTGGCTTCTCAGACCTTACAGCTTTGCAGTTTATGATATTAGTAGTCCTTCTGAATTACTAAGGTGGTAAGTTGCCCAATATTTATTGCCCAAGCGGGCAATAAACAACCAATATTTAGATTTACCATGTTCAAGTTTGCATTTGAACTATGATGGGTAGCACAAAGTCCTTCTGTAGAGTTTACCGAATTTCTAATTGGTGTGGCAAAATTCAGTCTTGCTTGTTGTTATTGAAGTTCATTAACTTGATCTTCATGGAGTTTGCCTTTGTAGTTCATAGTTGATGTTGGTGTCCTTGGGGGCTTTTTGTTGTTTTGTTTGGGATTTTTTTTTTTTTGTAGGCAAAGGATGTACTAGTGACTCTGCTCAGTTTTAATTATTTCCAAAGCTTTCAGCTTCAAAGTTTTCAGGCCATTTTATAGTGGTTTTGTCCTGTGTTTTACAAATTGTTTTACAAATTGTGTGTGGGTGGGGAATGTCCTCCAATTAGATTCTTACCTTGTTTCCTGAGGACCAATTTTTAAAATGCATATCAAGGTACACATTGCTAAGATTTCTAATGTACCAGATGAAGTAGCTACCTGAATAAAGGTAAGTTAAGCTTTGGTTACTTAAGTGGTCTATATCCAGATGATGATAGTTGCATTTTCACATTAAAAAAAACAAAACCAAAACCCAACAACCACACAGCAAAAGAAAAGTAGACCAACCCCTGCAAATTGGTCCAATGATTGGTATAATTGGTATAAAAGGTCCTGGTCTAAATATGCATAGGCACTGAAATATTTCTTTTGGTGGTATTTGCTATCTAGGTGGGTACACGTAGATTTGAAAGCATAGAGAAATCTGGAGAACTTCTGTACTTTACCTGTTTGAAAGTCTTTAACAGTTGTTTTTTTTACAGTGTGCCTTTTTAATTTAATGTTCATATCATGCTTTATAAATAGTTTCATTTGTAGAGATCATTGCCAATGTAATAGAAATGTCACTTTTATTGAGGTACAAGTAACTCCTGCATGTTCACATCCTTAAGCACATTTTATTTTATCAAGTTTAAGTCAGTTTCCAGTGCATTTATAGTGGTAGTTCTTGTCTGGTTTCACTTAAGACTGAAGTTAGTATTTTGAATATTAACATGAGCAGAAATGTTTTTCTCATTGAGTTCTGCTGCAACTGGCTACTCTGGTCTTCTTGATTTTTAAAAACAAGTCTTCAGGAGATGAGTCTTGGCAAATTTGAATTTAAAAAGAAGCATACAAAAGCCAATGTTATTTTTGTGCTTGTTAGAAATCCCAAGGGAATTGTTGATTATGGTGTGATTGAAGGTATCTAATTGAGAAATATGGCTTTTTTTTTCTAAAAAAATAATTCTCATTTTCAGAATTCCCCAATTTATATTCGTATTTCAGTGGCTGACTCGTGATGGACTGTTTTGCTTACAAATAATTAGTAGTTCCTGAAGTTTACTTTCTTTTTTTTTTAAAAAGTATTGTTTATTATATCCAAATAGTCAGGATTGAAAGGAAACAGTCTCAGATAAATTTTACTTGCAAATTGTTTCCTATTCCACCAATCCAGAAATTGTATCACAATTATATATATATATATATAAAATACCTATTTTAGTGTAGTTTTAGATGAGGGTTGTTAGGAGTGGCCTGGTTTCTCTCCTTCTTTTTCGTAGCCCAGGAAGTATCGACTGGGGATGCTGGATGAGAGGATAGTTCCGGTGGGATCAAAAGCAAGAAAATCAAAGAACCCTATCGGCTGTCTGGCTGACAGGTGTAAAACAGGAGTACCCATCAATATGGTTTGGTGGAACAGAGTCACAGAAAACAATTTACAGGTAAAATTATTTTTTACTAGTCACTTTTTCAGTATTTTGGATGCTTTATTTTAAATTTTGGAAAATGTTAGAAGCAGTTATTCCAAATATGGGTTGAAATCAGGTCAAATATTTATTTCATAAAGCAGGCATAGTGGCCCTCCAGGAGAGTGACTCAGATGTTTTATTCTTTTTACCCACCACTGTGATATGTACTTTGCTTGATTATGTTATAATCTGTGGAGGAGATGCAAAAGTAATTATTAAATGTATTCTAAAAGCAAAGAAACAAGCTTTTATTTTAATTTTCATGTGAGGAAGGTTTCCCTGGTGAAATTAGCGATCTCTGTTAAAATGACTGACACTTAATGCAAATTCACTTAGTACAGAATTTGAGGATGTAACCACCATGATCATAAAGTATAAATTTTTAATTTTTATGTTGGGATAACTTATATTTCTCAACTTGTTTGTTAAGCTTTATTGTTACTTTACTTCATTCATGAATTTTCTTCAGCTCATTTACAGGGGAGGGAGGTACAGCTGGATTCAAGCATCTCTGTACAGACGTAGCAGGTTATCCTTGGGATGGTAATGAAGGATAATTCTAGTCTGGGAGGAATCTGCTTGATGTCCCTTAAAATGAGGTCGAGACAGAAATTATTATCGTGGTCATAACTACAACACCGCTTCTATTATTGTTTTGCACTTGTGTGGTGCTTTTGATTCTTCAGAGATCATTACTTCAGTATTTCTGTGAGGGTTATGTTCTTTTCTGATGTCTTCTAAGTGAGTGAAATGGGTAAATTGACAATAGACTTAAAACTAGAATTTGTGGCACCTTAAGAGTTTCTTTCAGTTCACTAAAGTTCTGCCATGTAAAGGCCAACATGAAGCTCATACCATAGCCTTACCATACCAATACTAGTGCTTCATTACTTGATGTTTAACATCTTTGCATTACTGAAATTGGGAGTCATGGGCAGCGTGATGCAGGTAAACTGATGCTACGTTACCTCGGGACATTTGTGCTTAAGTCTCTCTTGGCCCTTTTGCTGCAGAGGAAGCAGCAAAGCCACTGGGCTGGTAAAGATGAAGTATAAAGGAAACATTGGTAGAAGGACCAGGCATGGTTGCAGAGGAGTGATGGAGCCAGTGAAGCACTACTTTTTTCAATGGAGAGAAGACTGATGGATTGAATTTACCATGTTTATATAATGGGAGGGATAACCTTAATTAGTAGGCAGTTGCTTTGAGAAGAGAGAAACAGAAAACTGGTCTTCAAATTTCATGTGGATGTTAAAGGGCAGGAAAAGCCCTGCTTGTACTCATGTCCTCCATTGTTTTCTCTTCTCTTCTGTGTTGCAGCCAGGTATGTTGGTGATCTACTCTGCTTAGAGTAGAGCAGAAAAACTTAGTGTTTCTGGAGGTTGGAGAGATAGTAGTCTGAGACTTGGAGTTTCTGGCCAGGAGCAATTGTCTTTTCAGTACCTATGCCCTCTAAAGTTGTCTTGAAAGTGTGGCAATGAGAAGCACGTGGTCCTCTCAAGGTTAGCAGCAACAGCTTGGGACTGGCTGCAGAGCACGTGGCTTTTGAAGGGTGCAATTCCAAGCTCCTTTATTGTGTCAGAATCCCAGCTACATAATTGATTTAAACCGTATACAGCATAAGATTTTGTATTATATAATGCAATTACATAGCTTCCCATGGAGACATGGGACTTTAGAAAAGCATGTATAGACATACTTGGTGGAAATAAGAACAGAAGGATGTTCCAGCCATGGGAAATAGAAGGGGGAGGGATTGCAGAGAACAGTGCAGTCTGGCAAGAGTAAATGGGGAAAGGTGTAGAAACAGGCTGCGGAGGAGATTATGAAGATATGTAAAGTTCAATGGAGATGAGAAACTGAATTTTATCCTGTTTTCATTCTGATCATCATAACTCTTTGCATTCTAGTGTGAGTATTTTCTAAGTTAGAGCTAAAACAGCTCAAACTGCTAAAATTCCGAAGTTTCATTATGAAAGGGCAAAAAATTGCTGGAGAAGTTTGGTACACGAAACTACTTGAAAAAGGGGTAGTTTCATGCTGAGATTTCAGATTGACTTTGTTTTTTCTTCTTCAGTATCCACAGATAGCAAAGCCGTTTAGAGATGTTTGCAGGTGTGAATATAGGTTATACAACCTAAATTTTGGCTGATGGTGAGTGCTAAGCAATAAGTGGAAAGGTTAAATTTTGATGGAGGCATATCTATTTGAGGGTATCTTTTTTTTCATTTATGTTTGAAGATGAGAAAGCACAATTACGTCTCAAAATTGCTGAGGGCTTGCAGTGCTGGACAGGTGTTGTAGCACATGTGTCTGTTTGAATCTCCAGTCTTTGAAACGTATGGTTTAAGATGTGAGAATACCCTATTTCGTGGTGTAGTGTTTAGAGATTTTTGTCCAAAAATTGGCTGTTTTAAAAAGCAAAGTAGTTTGCAACATGCATTGTAAAAGGGTATAACTGTTTCTTATGTGTGGCTATCAATTTATAATCCAGATCTATTTACTTTACATACTGTGTTACACTGACATGATCAAAAGTGGAGTCCACAGAGTGAATTGTATTCTCAGTTGTGCATTAAAAAAACAAACAACAAATCAAAAGTTTTTTCTTCAGCGACATGTTCTACCCTATGTTAGGAAATATCCTGAGCTACTACACCACTGTGTGATATATATTATAATAGCAAATGGCAATTCTGTTTAAAATAATAGAGATAGGTGTTGTTATACAGATCAGTTCTTAAGCACTGTGAATAACTGATTTTTGTTTTGTTTCTTGAGCAAAAAAAACCCCATAAAAATGAATTTTTCAGATATTTTGCATCAAGAACATGGTTTCTTCAAAATTTATAGTTTTTATGGTACTTTGAAGTATTTTGATAGAGAAATGTGGAAATATTCTGAGTCTTTAAAAGTTTACTTTTTAGTGAGATCTACTTGCTAAAATGTAACAAAACTTTGCGAGTAGATTTATTTGTCTGAGCCTGTGTTCTGGTTTAAAAAAAAGTCTTTAGCCAACGAGTATTACCCAGTTTTAGTGAAATTGTCTCTTAACTCTTCTAAAGGAGCGGTAAAGCAATATGGCTAATAACGTTGATTAAATTGAAATTTATTAGAGCTTATTGTATGGGCGATGTGACGACTTGTCACAGTAATTGCGATAAGGAAGCATGTTGCACAAATTCAATAGTGGGAGGGAGAGACTTGCTTTGAAGCCCTTGGTGACCGCCAGTGTCTGCTGGGCTGCTCCAGCATCACAGAATGTGTCCTTCCCTGATGTCATAGTTAACAAGGAATCCCTCTGGAAACGGAGGGATTGCAAGGCTGCTCTCTACATAAAGGGAAGCTCCTTGTATGGCACATCTGTCTATTTAAAAACAACAGCAAAGAAATCCCTAAAACAACAACAACAACAAAACCTCACATGTAAAAAACAAGCAACATTTTTGTGTGGTTTTGGATTCCTAAGAGATATTCTGAAAACTATGCCAAAAATAGACTGGTAGAGGACTGCCCTGCTTTATAGCGTGGGTATAGTTTAGTGGTGGTTTTCTCTCCATTACAAGATTATGCAATCTGGGATGTCAGAACAGATCAGCGTGAATTTGGAGGTGAAGGAGAACATAAAAAGAGAACAAAAGGGCTTGTATCCTGTTTTTAGCATGGTAAGTACATTAGCACATTCTTCCAAAATAAAATGAAATTGGCCTACTTTTTGCTTTAGGTAACTGGCTTTGGTAGAATGTGGGACCAGGACCGGTCTAATGCAGTACTGTTACAGCTGCCAAATCAGAGGTGGTGGCACTGCTGCTGCTGTGCAGCTCTGTATTGTGTTGTGAATTGCTGAACTGGAAATGAGAGATAGAGCGAAGGGTGGTTTCCAGTACTCCTGTGGGATCCCTGCATGAACCTTCCAAAGGCTCCATAATTTGTGAATCCCTACGTTATAGTATACTTAGGTACTCCATAGTGCTTTGAGGAGTTGTTTATGAATGAATGCAGCGGTGGGGCCGTAGGAGCTTATCACTGAAGAGTGTAGAGAGAAAAAAAGCATAGGTATTGAAATCGATAGTTGATGAAACAGGAATTTTCATCTTACTTCTGGACTACGGAAATCTGTTGATACATGCAACTCCTCAGCATGCTGCTGTGCAGTCCTCCCAGCAGTGGTCTTCAGCTGAGACCCTGGGCTTGCTCTTTGCTCTCATCTGCACATTCCTTTAAGGAGCCTCGAATTGCTTTTCAGTGGTACCCACAAAATATTTTTCTTCCCCTCCCAACTATATTTTAATTGTATTTCCTTTTTTATCTTTAAAAGCATAAAAGCCACCAGACAGATAAACTCTGTGCTGAATGGTGACACAAATGAGTGGTTTTATAGTGCTCCCCGCCTTTTCCACTTCTCTTGTGGCTCCATCCTTACTCATGGCATCATGACTAAATTCAGCCTTCGTTTGGACTGTATTTGTATGTTATTTATAATTCTCCAATGTACGGAAGTATAGGACACTTGCATTTGAAACTGAAAATGCAGTTTTCAGTTTGTTGCATAGTGCAGAGAGTGCTAGCAGGCTTTGTGTTTCTTGTCTGGGCCTTAGAAAGTGCATTTGCTACTTTTGTTTTTAACATCACAATATTACATAATTCATTACATGCCCTCTAGGTATTTCTTGTGTCTCCATTCTTTTAATTACACCCCAGGTTTAATAAAAGTCTTCAATTCCTGTTTTCTCTACCTTTTTTACCAATCCTGATTTACTCAGATTTAAAATTTTAAGCTTGGTCTAACTTGAAGAAGTTACTATACTCTGAGACAAGGAATTAATGACTAATAAGGTGAAATTTGTTTTAAAGTTGTGATTTTGGGAAACTTAAGCATAATACAGAATGAAGAAATTTTTTTATTAATTAGATATAGATTCTTTTCATTCTTATAGAAATTTAGATTGTCTTTTTTTAACTCAACCTCATTTTGGGAAGTTTGGTAAGGTTCTAATAGAAAAACTGTAGTTAATAATTATAGAATCATAGGATGATTAGAGTTGGAAAGGATCTTAAAGATCATCTTGTTCCAACCCCCCTGCCATGGGTAGGGACACCTCCCACCAGACCAGGTTGCTCAAAGCCCCATCCAGCCTGGCCTTGAACACCTCCAGGGATGGGGCATCCACATCTTCCCTGGGCAACTTGTTCCAGTGCCTTACCACCCTCAGAGTGAAAAATTTCTTCCTGATGTCTATTCTAAATCAGCCCTCTTCCAGTTTGAAGCCCTTCCCCCTTGTCCTGTCACTACATGCCCTTGTAAAAAGTCCCTCCCCATCTTTCCTGTAGGCCCCCTTTAAGTACTGGAAGGCTGCTATAAGGTCTCCCTGGAGCCTTCTCTTCTCCAGGCTGAACAACCCCAACTCTCTCAGCCTGTCTTCAGAGGTGCTCGAGCCCTCTGATCATCTTTGCCCTATAGGATTTAAAGCATAGTCCCCTTTTAGACATATTTTCAAGCTTACCATTGATCCAAATGTACAACTGACAGTAGAATTTATACTTTGTATGATGAGTTGCCAAAGTGAAAGTAGGATATTTTTCCAAATCAGGAACATAATTTTTGGAATCTCTGGCTATTAAGAACGTGGCTTCCCAATTTTGGTATGTTTACATGGTCATTGGTGCAGAATATTTTCTACAGAGTTTGGAAAAAAATAATGAAAAGATTAGATATTGAAGAATTAACAGTGATACTCCATTTCCTCACTTAGTTTAGTCTAATCACTTACTCTAGTCTACATACTGTGAAAGTGTTTGGGATATGTTTTGTATTATTTTCTTAAAAGAAAAATGTATGTATAAAAATCAGCGGTTTACTTCAAATGAAAACTTGTAAGCTTTTGGAAATGTTTTAAGAACTGCAGCTTCACATAGATGTAAGGTATTTTAAATGGCCGAGGCTTAAGCTTCAAATCTTCTGATGAAGTATTAAATATTTTTGATCACAAATTACTAAATTTTGTTGTACTAGTTTATAATTTGTTTATTCTGGCTGATGGCTGTGGAGCTCTGATGTTTTTCTGTATTTGCAAAACTGCTTGAATGTGGAAAAGTCTTAAAATTTGAACCAAAATTTAAATCACTTTTTTACCAATAGGGAAAGTCTTGGATTACAACTTCGTGTTTGTAACATCACAGAGAAGTAAAACAGACTTTTATAGTAAATGGCCTAGCTATGCAAATCAAAGCTTTTTACTCATATAAAATGCTTTTGTTGAAGTTATGTAGGAACAACTCAGTCTTATCAGGCGTTGATTCTGATCCTGAATTGTGACACCAAAAAATGGAACGAAAACTGAATTTCCAAGATGAGGTGACAGCGAGGTGGATTGAGAGCTGGCTGTGTGACAGAACTCAGAGGGTTGTGATTAATGGAGCAGTGTCAAGTTGGAGGCCTGTAACCAGTAGTGTCCCCCAGCGGTCAATACTCGGTCCAATTTTGTTCAATATATTCATCAATGACCTGGATGAGGGGACAGAGTGTATCCTCAGCAAGTTCGCTGATGATACCAAACTGGGAGGGGTCGCTGACACTCCAGAGGGCCGTGCTGCCATCCAGCGTGACCTGGACAGGCTGGAGAGCTGGGCAGAGAGGAACCTAATGAGGTTCAACAAGAGCAAGTGCAGGGTCCTGCACCTGGGGAAGAAGAATGCTAAGCACCAGTATAGGTTAGGGGTGGACCTGCTGGGAAGTAGTTCTGAGGAGAAGGATCTGGGGGTCCTGGTAGATAGTAAATTATCCATGAGCCAGCATTGTGCCCTTGCCAAAAAGGCCAATGGAATCCTGGGCTGCATAGGGAAGAGTGTGGCCAGTAGGTCGAGGGAGGTCATTCTCCCCCTCTACTCGGCACTGGTGAGGCCACAACTGGAATACTGTGTCCAGTTTTGGGCTCCCCAGTTCAAGAGAGACAGGGAACTGCTGGAGCAAGTCCAGCGAAGGGCAACCAAGATGATTGAGGGATTTGAGCATCTCCCTTATGAGGAAAGGCTGAGAGAGCTGGGACTCTTTAGCCTGGAGAAGAGAAGGCTGAGGGGAGACCTTATTATTGCTTACAAATATCTAAAGGGTGGGTTGAAGGAAGATGGAGCCAGACTCTTCTCAGTGGTTCCCAGTGACAGGACGAGGGGCAATGGGCACAAGTTGGAACAGAGGAAGTTCCGTTCCAATACACAGAAAAACTTCTTTACGGTTTGGGTGACAGAGCACTGGCACAGGCTGCCCAGGGAGGTTGTGGAGTCCCCTTCTCTGGAGATTTTCAAGACCTGCCTGGATGCAGTCCTGAGTAATGTGCTCTGGGCAATCCTGCTTTATTAGCAGGGGAGTTGGACTAGATGATCTCTAGAGGTCCCTTCCAAATCTGAAAATTCTGTGATTCACCCACTGCTGTTCATAATTCTGCAGCAGAAACTCAAACTACTCTATCAGATTCCTGGGTTTGGCTCTTTTGCTTGGATAAACTAAAACTTCCACCAGCTAAAGTGGAGTTCTTAAGCAGCTTAATTTTAAAATGATGGTGGATATTTAAGTAACTTTTAGAAATGAAAACTTGTCTATGAGCACTTGCAGAATGCATTTAGAAATAAAAAGCACCCCTGTTATGTAGGCACTGATTGCATCAGTTGGAGAAAGTGGTAAGAGTTTAGCCAAAATGGTATGGATGGGATTTTGGGAATTCTCTCAGTTGCTTTAGGAAAGGCTGAGGTTATCTTCCAGAAGGTGCCTGTTCTCTCCACTTGCATGCTTCAAATATTTTGCTCTGCCCTGCCCTTGTCACCTAGTTGACACAGTGTTTAGGTGTGGTAGATCAGTGTATGTGTCATGCCTAGTTTTAGCAGTGGAATAATGTAGATATCATGTAGTTCTTTGAAATTATGTGCTTTTAGCAAGATGCTACGACTTCTGTTCCTTGCTCTCCCAGTTTTGTTTGATGATGACTTTTCAGCTATATCGCTATTTGGACAAATTCTACTCAGCTCTTTACTGCCGTTGTCATTTTTACTAGTTTCAGTACAGATTTTGCTGAATTGTTGCATGCCAGATATTATCTAGAGGAACACAATTCTCTTAGTTATTCCTGTACCTGAACTTCAGATAAGTCTGGAGTATTATCTTTTGAATTTAAATATCAGTTATTTATTTTCAGTCTGTATAATGCAACTTACCATTTGTTTTGCTGCTTTAGTGTATACCTTAGCAAGTTTTCCTTAACTAAATGTGACTTAAGAGTTTTAAGATTTTTATCAACTTTTTACTCAAGTAAATCTAAATGTTTAACTTCACCAGTCTATGTATTTGGTTATAGTTGTTCTTGGAATATTTAGATACATGCACATGTAGAATGACCATCATAAGGTGGTTAGCAGTTAAAATTTGATGTGTGATTAAAGGTGGAATATTCTTGCGATTTGCTTTTAAACCTGAGCATCCTCTTTAATTTTACAGCTTTTAAAATCCTTTTCCAGTGCTTTGGAATACATTAATACTGTGATATTTGGCTGAGTATTTAAATAAAGATATTAAAAACAAATTAACAGAAAAAAGAATACATTTCAAATAGTTTTAATCACTGTCTAAATTAATGTTTTGTAATCACACATCTAATTTGTGACTAACAACTCTGCCACTTTATTCATATTGGTAAAAATCAATATTAATAATTTAACCAACAGTTGATATATTTGGTCATTTTAAAACTGCCTAAAACCAAAGTGTCCCAATATAACTTGCTTTAAAAAACATTATGGATTATCTTAACAGTAGCCTTTGTCTGTTTGGAGTTCTTACTGTCTTCTCATTTTACCTATTTTGATTAGACACTTTTGAGAGGTACCCTGAAGATTACTTAATAAACTTAACTTTGATTAATAATTTTCAAGCTTTTCATTGTGATTGTGTAATAATTGGTTTTATTTCTTGGCTTAATTTCTTTTTTCTTCCATTAACGTTGCTTGTATTTGGCTGTCCAATAATAAGCTTTTTGACTTTTGAATTCTAATTGGGATTTTCTTTTTCTAACCCTCCCTACCCTAAACCAAACAAATAATTTAAAAAAAACACCCCAAAGCTCCAAAACTCTTTGCACAGATTTTAATATAAATTAAAAGTTGGTTGTGTGATAGTATTTATTAGCACATAAAAATATGAATGTTTGATGGTCACTCAGCTTCTATTTTGTTTCTGTAGTACCAAATTAAACCTCATTATTATAGGTGCTATGTAAATAGAATAGGTAGTTAAAACAGAAGTTAACTTCGCAAAAAAGTAATATATAGGCCTATTTGAAATAGAGGCAGGGATGACTTCTTTAGTAGGAATCATTTTTACTTGCTTTAATTTGAAACTGCTACTTAGTTTGAGATGAAATCTCTTAAGTCACATAGGAACAGTCTGTACAGCAGTGGCGAGGTTTTCCCAGTGTCGAGTCTGTTCTCCAGCTTTATAATGTAATACTTATGGAAAGCCTTCTGCAAAGTGTATGAACTCGTGTATCAGCTGTTCATACGGAAAGCTTGCTAATGCTACTTCAGATGTAAGCTAGAAACACGTTTAAATTTGTTAGTGCAGATGAGCTTCCAGTATCTGCTGGTTTTGTCAGCAAGCTGTATGTAACTTAAAAATATCCCCTGCACTCAGTAGGCTTGCCTAGAAAGTATGTTCTACTAAATAGGCACTGTCCATCTCTTCACATTTAAAATAAACATTTAATTTACGTTTGTTTTTAAACAGACACCAAATCCTTCTGCAAGTGAGTTTATTCCTAAAGGAGGATCAACCTCCAGGCTGAGTAATGTATCCCAGTCAAGTATGTCTGCCTTCTCTCAAGCCTTGTTCTCTCACCCCTCCATGGGAAGTCCTGCTACTGCTGGGCTAGCACCAGGTAAGTTGAGAGTAATGATTTGTAGTACAGTTACTTCTTTTAACTTAATGTCAAACGTAACCCTGTATAGATAGGGATCAGGTTTATTGGGTATAAATGTAGCCACCTCCTGCTTTAGCTTTTAATTTTAAGGCAATCTTCAAGCATATAAAAGTGCAGGAAGATGGGATTTATCTTCCAGTAGTATGGAAATAACACTGCAGGCTGTGAAATCTGTTCAGCCACAGCAGCACTGAAATTAACTCAGCCTAACTTTTACTCTGCAATTTTTGGGGGAAAGGGGTGCTGAGTTATTACATACTGTGGTCCAGGTAGTCCTTGCCAGAGCAGTACCTGAAGATGATTTAAACTGCCCCTAGTCTAGAAATGCACTGCAGTCTACAATGAATATATGCTCTGATTACCACATGTTGATCAGCTCTTTTGATTTGTTGCTAGAGTAAGTAATGTAGAAGTAATTATTTTCAATGTTAGTGAGTATATAAGAGGACTTAATCTTGATGAAAAACAAAAAGCAGAAGATAAGCTTATTCTAAAATAATTTGCCTTGCAAAGTAGTGTTAGTTGTTATTGCATCTGTCATGTGTAATCTCAAATCACCAATTTATGATTGTTTCCCACATTTAAAACTATCAGTGAAGTGTGTTCCATGCAGTCAAACAGTTCTGAGTGACAAGATTTTTTAATTAGGTTTTTTTCACTTAAAAAGTTCAAGCTCTTCATGAATCTTTTGGACTTCTGATCTTAAAAAGTTAGCTTAATTCTAATTTTCTTTTTTTTTTAATAAAATGAAATAGTTCTAAGTGTAGTGATCAGCAGATCTGGACATTACACATTGCAGATCCTTTAGCAAGTTTCTGTATGCACTTAAACCTTTTGGCAATCTCTTTTGAGGGACAAGAAGCATTAGGTAGCTGCCAAAAGGCAGAGGGGCAAATATTGTAAATGTTTGCATTTTTAAACCAGTATTGGCAATTACCATCTGTTAAACTGAACTTCAGTCTTCCCTGATGCCAGGGGATAAATCTGTGTCAATATGAAAGAAGCCAGCACTTAGCTCGCATGTTATAACTATCGGAACAGGCTAGAAAAGCGATTGCTGTTTCTGCTGACCAAATGAACATGTTGCAGTACTGTGTCTGCTTCATACTATGTTGTGCTGTACAGTCTTATTGGAAAACTGTTGTGTTTATATGCCTCTCAGCCTTGTCACCTGGATTGAAAAGTGTATAAAGGAGTAAATAGGATACAGTAAAATGATCTGCTTTTGGAAAGTGTCCAGTGGGATCTCAGAGGGATCCTTCACAGTCCAATTTCTTTACTATCTGTAAGTAACACTTAAAAGGATAAGTAACACTGTTGATGAAAGAAGTTCGCACAACAACTTGAGCTCCTAGAAATATAGATGCCAATGCTGAAAATTGTCTGGGCTCAAATACTATTGTTTATGGATGAGAGGGACGGGGGAGTATTCGCAAGAGTGAACTTCAGGCAAAGTTGGCTTATTTCCCTGCTCTTCTTGTGAAATTAAAAAGAACATAGTTCAGAATAGGCATGTGGGTTGGGTGCTCTTAATTTCTCTAGAAGCTTCTTTCTCTACACTGAGTGCGGAATTCTCTGAACCTAAGCGTCCTGTGTAAATAATACTCATAGGTGTTTATTTAAATGGTTTAACTGTCAATAGTATACATCCACAAAAACTTCTCTTACCTCAAGCTGAGTGAGGAGGTGCTCTTTCTAAACAATTAGGTTCTTAAATAAGAAAGCAGACTTTACATGTGAGGAGACTTCACCATTTAGGCCATGCTGGATAACAGAATAAAAAAAGATTTAAGTATGTTATGAAATTGTCATTAAAAATTATTGTTGGGATCTGTTAGCTTTCAATAAATGAAAAAAAATTCAAATGAAACCCATATAAAGAGTTTATAAGAATTTTCCTTTAAATAAAGGTAAGTCTCCTTCCAGTTAAATGGTATATATACTCCAGTAGAATAACTTTCAGGAAATGTGTGAAAAATTTAAACATTTTCATGAGATTAAGATTGCTTATAGTAGTTTATGGAGGAAACTGGAGGAAATGAGTATTTCAAAAGAAATAAGGAAATGTAGTAGGAACAGTTTGTTAGAAGTTCCATAGTTTGGTTCACCCATAACAAAGCAGGTAAATGGTGAGAATGATCCTTTAATTTCCCACTTGATGATGGAAAAAATTAAGTTCTTTTTGAGATTTCCCTAAAGGCAGGTGTAAATCAAAGCCACTTTTGACATCTAGTATTTCACAGATAACTTCACAAAATTGATTGTCCTTGGAAAACATTTGTTCTGCCTGTCTTATCAACAGTACTGGAGAAGTACTGGAAAAAGTGACAACATAATGTAACATACTTTACTGTTAAACTTGTTGTATCCACACCTAACATCTTCCATGCTATGTCCTAATGGCTAAGGTTATTCCTACTTTTATGTGTATTTACTTAGATAAGTGCTTTCTAGCATAATTTCAACACAGAGTCAGTCTTCATCTTGGCAGTCTGTAATATAATAGGAAACATAGTGAGATAAAACGTGACTTACACAAATCACTGGAAAGAATTGTCCTATTAAAGAGCTTTGAACAGATCTTCACCCTCTCCAAACTTTTGTTAAGCTCCCCTGGATAATACCCTTTTTTTGCTCCTTCCATTCCCTTTCTGGCAAACACATCCTGTTTGTATGGGAAATTTAGTGAGTTGTTGACAATCTTCGAATAGTACTTTTGCTAGCAAGCTTATCTTATCGAGTTCTGTGTAGTGGTTTCAGAGTAATATTGCTATTAAAATATGAAACAAAGCTTATGAAAGAAATTTGTGAATGTCATTGAAGTAATAAGACATCATTGCTGTGTTAAACTTAAGAGAAAACAGATGTATAGCCAGCAGAGAAAATCTGTGTCTGGCTTGGGTTTACTTAAGCTAGGTTACAGCTCAAGAGTGATGCCTTTGTCATCAACAGAAATGACAGCAAATTGCTGGTGCTTCTATATTTAGTCCAAGACAGGCTCTGAGCTTATGCAGAATGTAAGAGATCCCATTCTTGCTGCCAGTCTGAACCTGCAGACTTAGGAGCCAGGAGCGTGAAGGTGATGTGCTTGTTTCTGGTTGACACATCTCCATTCATGATGGGCTACGAGACTGTAGTTCTTGGAGCTTATGAGTCCAGTTGGAAATGGAGTGTTTAAGCTGAGGTGGTTTGAGTGGCCTAAGGCCCCAAGAGCTTGTTCTGACCTCCCGTATCAAGTATGGTGCAGTTGTTCTGTGGAGGAAATTCCACAGTCATTTCAGAATAATACAAGAGAGGAAGAAGGCAAAGGGACTATAAAATTAGGGTGGTTCCCCCCCCCAAATAAAATTGAGGAGAAAGAACCGATGACTTTAAAGTTGCTTAGGGAATTAAGCAGATTTAATTAACTTGGAATACACAGCTGCAATGCTGATGGCCTGATGGAAAGCTTATAATAAAGAGAAATATTTAATGAATTTAAGGATGCTGCTTTAAGTTCTTGAAATAGTCTGGTTTTATTATTTACTTTTATTTGTCATTCCTCAAAATGTACCTAGTAGTCTAGAGTATCTCTGAAGTACAGAACTTTAAGTATTTAACATTTTATCACATTAATTTTTGACGTCTGAATGTGTTACAAGCTGTAGAGGCATAGGGATATGGTTGTAGATGAGTGAATTAGTAGGCAAAATTTGTAGGTTTTTTTTTAAAGTATTTATGTTGCAGGTCAGCTGATTTGCATACACATGAGCTTAATGAAATCCTGCTTCGCTAAGTTGGAAATTCTCATTCAATCCAAAAACTGTAGACACTGAGTCCTTAATGAAAGTTCATGCTTGATGCCCTTTCTTTGATCCTCTTTATCTGTATGAATTCTCATGTTCAAAATACAACCTAGCTTTTAATTCAAATACATTGCATGCTGCAAAGCTTTTAGAAGTGTTAATCTCATAAAATATCTTTGGGCACTGCCTGGAATTTCAAAGTCTACCACTCCCATTTCCTTAGTCACAATGAAATTTCAAAAATAAAAACCAGTGCAAGAAGTGAAAATATGACAATAAAGACGGATATGTAAATATGATGTCTTTCTCTATCCAAAATGAGAATAGCAGCAGGAGTTCCAGGTATGTGTACGTAGCCGGTAAAGTCACTGTGCATGTTGTGAAAAGACCTACCACAACACCATTTTTTAGATGTAAATAATTGTGAAGTGAAAGAAGCCCTTTCTCCTTGCAGTTTACCTTTCAAGATAGTATTTGACCTCTTCATGAAGGGTATTAATATTCACTGAGACAAGGAATTGAGAGACACCTTTACTAGTAGATAAGTCTCAGGAAGGACAATTTGAAGTGGGCTTTTTTGTGTTTGTCTTAGTACTCCTGTTGGTGTTTGAGTTTTAATATAGGGGAATGCTCAACTGTCTCATAGGGAAAGCTTAAAAAGAGAGTTCTCTATATCTATCCTGACTTCCCCACTTATCTATATTTCTATAAATATAAATCTATAATAACATTTTCTTATATATAAATACACCATAAATAGATTATTCAAACCCCATTTTTTCTTAGGCCTTTAAGTTGATACATGTTTATGTAAATAGCTTGTCTAATTCTGTGAGGGGTGGTTCCATATTCACCACATTGTTACTATCACATGTTCAGTACCAACTTTTTACTTCAGTATGAGTCAGTGGGAATATATGTTCACCTTTTAATATAACCATTTTTCTGTATTTTCTTCTAATTCTATTTTGTTGTGGTTAAATATTAATATTAGTAAGGTTTTAACTGATTGAAATACTAACAAAGTTGGTGAGATCTGCTTGAGTTTGTGCACCCACTTACTTGATTCCGTAAGTACCTAGCTGTGCATCAGTTTCACTGTCTTAAGTGTTCTTTTTTATGTGATATTGTACTTTTAATACTTATTTAGACTCTGCAGAATTTAATGCACATCTCAAAAGAGTTTATCACCTTTAGTATTCGCTGCCCCAGCCTATCAGTACCCACCGCAGCACTAACAGCAAATTCCTTGCAACTTGTTTTATATTGTTATAGTAGTATAAAACCAAACTATAGACAAGCTTCTCTCATATCTTGAACTTACTGTATATATACTGGCAAATGAGAAGTCCATATGTTCTGCCCACCAGATGATTTTCATTGAACTCTCAATGTCCTTCCAAAATCAGACCTAACTGGGACTGGAAGGATGTTTGAAAGGATTTGTGTAACTCTGACTGTCTTCATTTTCTTTCAATCTTGAGTTAATACCCAAGCAAAGACATGAAGGATTTATGTTTGTAACTATTCTTTGGTAGGAATAAATTTTTTTAAAAAGTAAATCTTACAGTTGAAATTGTTTAAAATTGTATCAGTAAGAACCACCAGTAATAGATTTAATTTTTTTCTGAGAAACTGTCAGTAGAAGGTCACAATATAATTTTAGCAAGGTTGCAAGTCATCACTTTCATTTTTAAGATAAGATTTACAGTATACTGTCTTGTGTATGTACAGTTTTTATTTTAAAGTAGAGGAGTCTTCGGTTAATTTTTCATTAGTATATATGAAGGCTGCTGGGTTTTTTTCCTAGTTTCCTACAGTTGAATGTTTTATTGGAAAAAGAAAAAAAGTTTCTTGAATCCAGTTATTTCTATCTGGGTAGAGATTACATGTTTGTGAAGACTTCAGTTAATACTACATTTTATTGAATAGAGTGAAAAGATATGTCAATAACTTTCCATAGATGAAGAGAATCCCTTGGACATCATAAACACGAATTGTAGAGCTGCTTCAGTTTTATGGCCACTTTAATTAGCCATCCTTCAAATTTTAATAGTAATATATTATTTCCTTTCAAATTGCTTTTTTCCCACAGTGGATTAAGAATGCATTCATGTTTTAATCTTTTGTTAAAAATGTAACCATCTGTAGCTGTTGAAATATTTGTGTTACTCAGTCACTCAAGGCAACTTTTTACCTTAATGGAAACTTACTTTCTTTTGTAGCGTAAACTACTGCTATCATAATGTGTAACATTTTATAGTCATACAGTTGATTTGTAAACAGATTTTTAGGACACTACTTATGTACCATTCAGAAGTACTTTAAAAATTCAACATTCAGAAGTGCCTATTATATAATTCACATTTGATTAAGTTAATACACTAATCAGCAAGCAGTTATCCCACACTATTGCTTATCTATAATGTGTGTGTACACACATGTGTATGTATTAATATAAAGAAAAGTTCTGGCCCAGAAAAGTGTAGACTTTTTTCATATTTTCAGAATTTTTCATATTTTTATATTTTATATTTTTATATTTTATAAAAAGAAGAAATGACTGAGGAGACCCGACTGAAGAGGAAGGTGTAAGATTTTTCTTATGGTTTACATTGAAAAAATCTTATTTTGTTGGAACTATTCACTTTTCAAGAACAAAAGAAATAATTGTGCTGAATTAATACATGTAGTTTTTGAGATGTCAAAAAAGTACATGATTGGAGCTAAATGAAAGGTTACAAACATTCTGTTAATATTATTAGGATAATATAGCTTGAAAATAATTTTCCCCCAACCACTGATTAAACTGTTAATACTAAAATTATTTGCTTTTGTGGTTTGTCTTAAAAAAGAAAAAAGTAAATGTAGGAGGGATGTAACTACTGTAGAGACAAGACATGAGTGTAAAAACACTCCTACACATTACTGATGATACATATTGAGAACTCTGCGTACAGTAACTCTTGATTGAAGTAACTAAACTAGCTTTTGGTAACTGAAAAGTGTGTATGCAAAAAAAAGTTGCTCTTGCTTTTATTAATCAGATATTTGCTTAAATTACTTCCATTCATAATGGAAGTTTATAAATGGAAGCAATTCAAGCAAATGTCTGAGTACTAACTGAATTCTTAATTAGAGAAGAATTCTCAGCTCTTCATTGAGCATTAAATATAAAAGTTGTGTATCTTACATACTTTAAAATAAAAATGTAGTATGACTAATATAGTTCTGACTGCTAACGAAGAGAAAGTACATCCCAATCTGAGCTGAGAAACAATATATTTCATAGATGATCTCCTTTGTATTAATCTGAATATCTAGATATCTAGGATCTTCTCCTCGTAATATAGGAGTTTTCTGTAGGGTAATCTATTCCTCGCCCTGAAAGGTTTCTTTGAGATTTAAACTTTTATAAATAAGCATATCTGAGAATTCTGCGTACAATGACTCTTGAAGCAACTAAACTAGTTTTTGGTAACTAAAAAGTGTGTGTGCAAAAAAAAAAAAAAAGTTGCTCTTCTTTTTCCCACTGATGCACTTTGTTTAGAAGTCATTAACAGAGAAGGACTTGTGGCTGATGTGAAGGTTGGAGGCTGTCTTGGGCATAGTGATCACGAAATGATAGTTTTCAATTCTTGGAGAAGTAAGGAAGGGGATTAGTAAAACTGCCTCTTTAGCCTTCCAGAGGGCAGACTTTGACCTGTTTAGGAGACTGGTTGATAGAGTCCCTTGGGAGGCAGTCCTGAAGGGTAAAGGAAGGCTGGACATTCTTCAAGAAGGAAGTCTTAAAGTCACAGGAGCTGGCTGTCCCCATGTGCCATAAGATGAGCTGGCAGGGAAGACCAGCCTGGCTAAACCGAGAGCTTTGGCTGGAACTCAGGAAGAAAAGGAAGGTTTATGGCCTATGGCAGAAGGGGCAGGCCACTCAGGAAGACTACAAAGATTTCATGAGGCTATGCAGGGAGAAAATTAGAAGGGCCAAAGCCCAACTAGAACTTAATATGGCTACTGCCATGAAAGACTGTTTCTATGAATACATCAACAAAAGGAGGACTAAGGAGAATCTCCATCCTTTATTGGATGTGGGGGGAAACATAGTAACCAAGGATGAGGAAAAGGCTGAGGTACTTAATGCCTTCTTTGCTTCATTCTTTAATAGTAGGACCACTTGTTCTCTGGGTACCCAGCCCCTGGAGCTGGATGACAGGGATGGGGAGCAGAATGAACCCCCCATAATCCAAGAGGGAATGGTTAGCAAGCTACTACACCTCTTAGACACATACTAGTCCATGGGGCCAGATGGTGTCTACCCAAGGGTACTGAGGGAGCTGGTGGAAGTGCTCACCAAGTCACCTTCTGTCATTTATCAGCTGTCCTTGTTAACTAGGTGGTCCCAGTTGACTGGAGGCTAGCAAATGTGATGCCCATCTACAAGAAGGGCCACAAGGTGGATCCAGAGAATTACAGGCCTGTCAGTCTGACCTCGGTGCCAGGGAAGGTTATGGAGCAGATTATCTTGAGTGCCATCACAAGGCACCTGCAGGACAACCAGGCGATCAGGCACTGTCAGCATGGGTTTATGAAAGGCAGACCCTGCTTGACTAACCTGATCTCCTTCTGTGACAAGGTGACCTGCTTAGTGGATGAGGGAAAGGCTGTGGATGTTGTCCACTTAAACTTTAGTAAAGCTTTTGACACCATTTCCCACAGCATTCTCCTGGAGAAACTGGCTGCTCATAGCTTGGATGGACATACGCTTTGCTGGGTAAAAAACTGGCTGGATGGCTGAGCTGTGAGTTGTGGTGGATGAAGATAAATCCAGTTGGCGGCCAGTTGCATGTGGTGCTCTGTATTGGGACCTGTTCTCCTTACTGTCTTTATCAACAACCTGCACAAGGGGCTTGAGTGCACCGTCAGTAAGTTTGCAGATGACGCCAAGCTGGGTGGGAGTGTTGATCTGCTTTGAGGGTAGGAAGGCTTTACAGAGGGGTCTGGACAGGCTGGATCGATGGGCTGAGGCCAGTGGTATGAGGTTCAATAAGGCCAAGTGCCAGGTCCTGTACTTGGGTGACAACAACCCCATGCAGCACTACAGGCTTGGGGAAGAGTGGCTGGAAAGCTGCCTGGTGGAAAGGGACCTGGGGGTGTTCGTTGACAGCCGGCTGAATGTGAGGCAGCAGTTTGCCCAGGTGGCCAAGAAGGCCAACGACATCCTGGCCTGTATCAGGAATAGTGTGGCCAGCAGGACTAGGGCAGTGATTGTCTGCATGTATTTGGCACTGGTGAGGCCACACCTCCAGTACGGTGTTCATTTTTGGGCCTGTCACTCCAGGAGGAACATGGAGGTGCTGGAGCATGTTCAGAGAAGGGCAGCGAAGCTGGTGAGGGGTGTAGAGCACAAGTCTTATGAGGAGTGGCTGAGGGAATTGGGGTTGTTTAGTCTGGAGAAAAGGAGGCTGAGGGGGGACCTTATTGCTCTCTACAGCTACCTGAAGGACGTTGTAGTGAGGTGGGGGTCTGTTTCCTAAGTAACAGGCAATAGGACAAGAGGAAATGGCCTCAAGTTGTGTCAAGGGAGGTTTAGATTGGATATTAGGGAAAACTTCTTCACAGAAAGGGTTGTCAAGCATTGGAACAGGCTGCCCAGGAAAGTGGTTGAGTGACCATCCCAGGAGGTATTTAAAAGATGTGTAGATGTGGTGCTGAAGGACATGGTTTAGTGGTAACTTGACAGGGCTAGGTTAACGGTTGGACTTAATGATCTTAAAGGTCTCTTCCAACCAAAATAATTCTATGATTCTAATATTTTATCTTTTTGTGGTTTAATAAACTCTGTTACAGACACAGCATTAATTTGATTTGTTTCCCCCTTTCTGCTACTTCTACATCTTTCATTCCAGTTCTTCATGTGTAGATCTTAAGTTCCCAAGTCCTTTCTCTCTGAACTAAGGAAAGATTTTTGGGGAAAATGTATCAGTTCAGTCTTGCTCTTAATGTTTTACATTTTAACTCTTCAAATAGATATAGCAATCCTTAAGCACCTCTCCTGCTCAGAATACTATTGGTAGTGAAGGCTATTTTTTTCAAAATGCTATTTTTTTTTTTTTGGATAACAGATTTGATCAAGAGTATCTTCTTGTGTTTCTTTAAGGAATGTCACTGTCAGCAGGATCTTCTCCTCTTCATTCCCCCAAAATAACTCCGCACACATCTCCTGCTCCTCGAAGAAGAAGTCATACTCCTAACCCAGCAAACTATATGGTGCCTACTAGTGCCTCTGCTTCTGTCGCTAATGCTGTCTCTCAGCCTCCATCTACTGGCCAGGTGATCCAGAAGGAAACAGTGGGTGGAACAACGTACTTCTACACTGATACAACTCCAGCACCTCTCACAGGAATGGTATGTTTGCTTTTGATACAGAAGTATACAGAGTTGCCAAATGCTGACTTGGTTGATACTACAGAGATTATTCTTAACACTCTGAAACCCTTGTTCTGTATGAAGATTTGATCTTTATTTGTTGTAGTTCTCCAAAATCACTGAAATTTAAGGACCAGAGAGGTTTTTTTTAATGTATTTTTCATACCTCTATGTAGAGTTTTGGGTTTTTTATACAGCAATAGAAAGAAAGCATTTTATGTATGTCTCAGTGGATACATATGTAGTGAGAAAATATCAGAAATTCAGATTTATTTTTTCTTCTGATAGGTTAAATAACTCTTACAGTGGAGGGGAAAAGGCAGTTCTAAAAATGTTAAAATAACTGTGTACATACACCCTCCCCCCCGACCCCCCTTGAAATCAATAGTAGTGAGTATCGCATAAGGAAATTGTAATTTATCTGACAGTATATTTGTAACGTGAACTGTGCATGAAGACTTTGTAGTTCAGTAGTTCAAACTAAAAGGGTGACAACTCCTTGTTTTCCCTATCCTTAAGGATTTTAAACCGCTTAAAATGTTGTTGGTTTTTTTCAGGTATTTCCAAACTACCACATTTACCATCCAGCTGCACCTCATGTTGCTTACATGCAGCCAAAAGCAAATGCACCTTCCTTCTTCATGGCAGATGAGCTCAGACAGGTAAGATGATAGAGAATTTACAGGAAAACTGCAAACCTTGGCAAAAACTAGAAGATCACTAATAGTAGAAAATCTCAAAATCTACACAGTCAATTTTCCCTATGGAGAATTTTAAAAAGTCAAGTCCTGTAATGGATGGAGTACAACAGAGGGTGGGGGCAGGTTACAATGTACGTGACTGCAATCTAATCTCCGTGCTGTGATTCAGCTAAGTATTCTTATTTCTGTGTATTGTTTTGGTGTGCATCAGTTCATTTATGTAGCATTCCTTTAAGCTGTAATCCTATCCAGTTTTAAAGTCTAACTGAAATGAAAATATATGCAGGTGTTAGTTGATGAGCCCTTCTCCGAGGGCTGGCTGTGACTGTTACTTATTTCAGCTTTACTATGGTAGGTGCCTGTGTCAATGCTAGCTCTAGCTAATGTGTCTTCTGCAGCTCCTTCCTTCAAGAATTTATGTATTGTCATTGACGTTTTCAAGTTAGTGGTCTTCCCCTCCTCCCTCCAGCCCCAGACACTTGCATCAACTCCCTATTTTTGTACAAGTAGCTGGTACTTCAAAAATAGTGTAGTGTTCACTTATCAAAAATGATGAGCTGAATTATAATGTTCAAAACTTGACTTAATTTGTTCTTCAGGAACTGATCAACAGACACTTAATAACTATGGCCCAGATTGATCAGGCTGATATTCCTGGTAAGTAAGTGTTTCTTGTAAACCAAACTGCAATCATATTGTTCTGCAACCATACGTATTCAACAATATTAACAACATCTTGCAAAAAACACCACCTGTTTTTAATTTTTCATGAAGCCTTTAATCATCAGCCTGGGCTATGGATAACCAGATACAAAGTATTTCAGAAATATGAAATTTGTTTCTTGCTTCTCTTTCTTCTGTAGTTTTCTTCTGTTTTGAAGATCTTCAATGGTTGAGAGTACTTAAAATTGCTGGGAGACGAAAAATCATTAAGGCGATAAAGCCTCATAACAATATTGTATTACTTTGTACATATTTGGTATTCCTTTAAAGGATGCATATATTTTTGAAGGCTATATATAAACTAGCAAATGAGTTTGTTTTAAACTGTGTTGGCTGGTATGTCAGAGAAGGCTTTTTACTGGTTGTCAGGCAAGAGAAGCATATACTATTCATTGTAACCTGTCTTTTGGAGAATTTACAACTGACTGTTCAACTTTATTTAAACAGATCGCTTTTTTGATTGCAGTATCCTTACTTTTCAAATGTGTGTTTAATATGACAATGATACAGTAAAAAAAAAAAAGGCAGTTTAGTTTACTAATCCAGATGAAGTACCAATGTATTTCTTCTTGCAAGGTTAATCTCTTAATCTGATTTGTAAACCTTCAGCACCTCTGTCTCTGTTTTCTAAACCAGTATGTTAAAACATGTACGATTCAGATTTGCTTTTTTGCGATGAAAATGTGGTTCTTACAGTGGCATGAAGTCTGTATGGAAATTGGTGCTTACTTATGAATGTATGCAGGAAAAAAAACCACCAAAGAAACATCATTCAGAAGGGTGAATTTTTAAGGCAAATGAAAAAATGGCAGGTGGAACTGTGCATCTATTCTCTTGATTTTAACTGCCTTCAGAAAAAGAGTTACACCAAGTATTTTAGCTCTGTGGATTATCTTCCAGGAACCTATATATTGGTATTAAAACTAAAACAGTGAATTTTAACTTTGCATGCATCTAAAAAAGAATTTACATGTTAATAATAGCCATTTTAATCTTCTCTGCTGCTGTAATAACTCTCTCAAAGTCAACTGACACCTAATATGTTTCTGTGTATAAATTGATTTTAGCAGTTCCTGCAGAAGTGGACAGCTACCACAGTCTCTTTCCTTTGGAACCACTGCCACCGCCCAATCGGATACAGAAAACAAGCAACTTTGGGTACATTACATCATGCTATAAAGCTGTAAATAGTAAAGATGACCTGCCATATTGCCTTCGGAGGATACATGGTGAGAAAAATTGAATTGTCTCAATAGGACTAGCATTCCTAAGCATGCTAGTCATATTTTAATGTCTGGTTGCTTTTCAGTAGTTTCAGAAGAAATGTTAAAGTTAAAAAAATCTCCTCCAAAACATAGATTTTTTTTAAACCATGGGTTTTTGTTCTTTTCTAGGTTTTCGTCTCGTTAACACAAAGTGCATGGTATTGGTTGACATGTGGAAAAAAATTCAGCACTCAAATATAGTAACCTTGCGTGAAGTGTTTACCACTAAAGCGTTTGGAGAGCATTGTAAGTTTTTGTGGTGTTTTTTTTTCTCCCAACTGATCTGTTGAGTCTTTTTTTCTAAATGTGCTTGAGTTAGTAATTGTCACATGTTTCTATTTTTAAGCTCTTGTGTTTGCATATGATTTTCATGCTGGAGGAGAGACTATGATGAGCAGACACTTCAATGACCCTAGTGCTGATGCCTATTTCACAAAACGAAAATGGGGTAAGGAAAATACATTATCATACAATACTTCTGTAAACTATTTCTAATACTTAAGCAGTAAATAGCTGGTCAGAAGTAGTCTTCCAACTTACTCTTTTAGCTAATCAGTTCTGTGATATCATAAGCTGATTGGCATCAGAACTCCTCTTTCTGGCTGTAAAATCTCTGAATATGCGTATTTTTTAAATAACAGAAAAGTATGACTAGAGTTAAAAGTTAAGATAGAAGTCTAAAAATGAACAATATACTTTTCTGGTCACATTCGACTTATGACTAATTTGCAAAATTGACGTCAGTTTGTAAGGGAATTAGAGTTCTTTGACAGGGAAATAAGTTTAAATTGGAAGCCAAGAATTCTGGGGTCCTAGTTTCAGGTCTGTCACAGAGTGACACCTGACACTTGAGATGTTTCCAAAATCATAAAACACACATGCTATGTCAATTTGATGCTTGCTGTTCAGGTGCCCTCTACTTACAAATTTTTTTTTCCTCATAAAGTATTATGGGGATTATTTAGACAGTGTTTTGTTTAATGTTTTGAAATGTGAAGTACTTATTAAGACAAGAAATGGATTTAAAAAATCCCTGTAACATAAATTCTTTTCAGACACAACTTCACATCCTAAGTCTGATTTTTTTTATTTTTTTTTCGGATTTATACTATGACTTCAAAGGAATTACTAAAACTGCATCTACATTTGTGAATAAAACCTGTCACAGCGTGGTCTGTGGCTCAGCAAGTTGCCCAGCACAGCTCATATCCATATGGCTAAAGCCTCTTCCCCTCCAAAATAGTACGCTGCCAATTGCACTGCCCATTAGAACCAGTTCATGACCTGTGTAGTCCCACAGACTGCATCCAGGTGTTGTCTGGAACACAACAGGCCAACGCTATTAGTAGAGCCCAGTGCCATGCTGAGAGAGAGAGAGAGATGCTCGCAGCTGAATGGAATCACAGAAAGACAGGGTAGGAAGGTATCCTTGGAGCTCTGGTATCTTCAACTTCCTGCTCAATGCAGGACCAACCCTGAAATCAGATCCAGCAGCAGGGATGACCAGATGACTATGACCTGGCCTTGTTTATTTTATTACAGTAGATGTTCCCTAAATGTCTTTAGGCTGCCAGTGTATAAAGAGAAGCAGAAGCTACAGTTTCTTCTTTCTCGTGCTTTTTGCAATTAGAGCCTTTAGCTGTGAATTCAATCTGTTTCAAAGGCTGACATGGAAAACGTCATTTGGCTATCTGGTAGATCAGAGTATAATGGATTGGTAGTGTGTGAATGCATTCAAAAGCTTGTAGATCCCTTATGTATTGAATAATTCCCACTGGCTTTGCACTGACCTGACTGGTATAAGTGAGGTTGGAACTTGAGTTCCACCATTGGTTTTGGTGGTAATATCTCAGACAGGAAACCCTAAATTGACTTGTCATATCCCATGGCAAGTCAAAGAATGCAATTACAAATTCAGTGAGCCTGATGTGAAACTAATTTGGTAGGATAAACCTGGAACACCTACTGCCAGGTGAATGACTGTTATGTGCAGGACTAGACTTCTGAGTATCTCCCACCCATGGTTTTCAATTTCCATGTAAATCAGTCCTTGTTATGTTTTTGTACTTCTCTAGAGCATTATAGAAGAATGATGTCTGTTCTAGATAAAATAATAGAAGATATAATAAAATTCTTTGGGACACATTCTTTTGTCATACTGGAAAAGAACTAAGTTTTGCTCATATAAAGGGCACTTCTGTCTCATTAATCTATTAAAGTTCTTTGAAGGAATATCCAGTAGATAAGATCTTGGGTTTTCAATTAAGTCCATCAGAGTCTCTGAAAGAAACGAAATGGCTGTGAGATAAGAGAAAGTTCTCAGGTTAATAACTGGTTAGAGGACAAGAAACAGTAAGAGTGAACAGTTGATTTTTCACACTGAAGGGAGATCGCTGATGGAGTATCGCAAGAATATGTGCTGGGAGTTGTATTTCTTTACACGTTCATTTATTTGCACTGAAGATTAATGGTCTGTCAAAGCTTGCTGATAATACCAAATTATTTGGATTGTTAAAAACAAAGGCCAGTTGTGATGGATTGCAGAAGGATCTTACAAGACTGGGACTCTTGGCAATACTCTAGCAGGTGATGTAACAAACTGATGTGATCAAGGGAGAACATAACTCTAACTTTAAACATAAAATGATGGCCTCTGTTGTGGCTGTTACCACTCAGTAATAGATCTGGGGCTATAGTTAAGTAGATTAAGGAAAATATTGTCCTCTTGCTGAATAGCAGTAAATAGGAAATGCGTTGTTGCAGATTAATAAGAAAAGAGTAAACAATGAAACAGAAGACATTGAATTCAAGATGTGGGTGCATCATAGACTCGGATCTGTAGTTGTGGTCCTCCTTTCACATTTTGAAGGTTGTAGAAGAACAGCAAAGTTGAGAAGTGACAGGGATGATCAAAGCCATGGAACAGCTTCTGTATAAAGAACAGCAAAGTGGAATAGTACTTTTCATGCCCTTAAAGATGGACAGGGATATGATGGGGTTAAAGATGACTGGAGTATGGTAGGTGTCTGAAAAATCATCAGGGATAAATTAAGAACGAATAAGCAACAGTAGTTTGCTATTTCTTCCAGCCTAGAAGCAGGGACTGGCAAATGAGACTATCCAGATAGCAAATTCAAAACTTCTGTAAAGATAATTAAGCCATAGAACTTTGTCACAGATCATTGTGGGCATGTGCCTGGGTTCAAGGGGAAAGTGGGCTTAGTCGTGGAGGAGAAATGCTTGAGGACTGCTAACTGCAGACACTGCATCTTACTCAGGAGCTCTCTGAGCTGTAGAGGCTACTAGAATATTCTATTTATGTTCATATGCTCAGGTATCTAGTGCAAGCTACTGTTCCGATTTTAGTGTATGTGTCTTTGAAACAGGATAACGAGCTATCTGGACCATTTTATTTGACCTACTATAACTTCCTTCTGTAGGCAGGGATGGTCTTTGAAACTGGAAATAAGACATCAGTTTCTCTTCAGCAAAACCAAAGTATTATTTAATTAAAATGAACTGTTGTGGCAGAACTTACAGGGATAAAGATAACTCTCTCTTGCCCGTGGCACTTGTCATTACCTGCTCTTCCAGTCTTTTTATTAGATAAATTAGGGGGGAAAAAATCACCTGACATTCCCCAATTTTGCCAAATCTTTCTGCACATCTTTGCTTTGGCCTTTTTTCTTTTTTGGGGGGGCGGGGGGGCAACTGCTTCTTTCTAGTCTGGTCCTCAGTAGAAGGAGCAATTTAAGAGAGAAAAATAAGATTGCATACCTATAACTTGATTTCTCAGAATTGCCTGCCTTCACGGATCCTTTCTCCATCCCCTCACAGAGTTTCTTGGCCGTCTGCCTGCCTAGAGGAGACTCCCAAGAGAAGCAGGGGAATGGATGGAAGTTGGGTACTCTGCAGCATGAGGCCCAGATTAGTACAATTGCTTTTAAAGGTTTTAGGAGGCACAACACTGTCAACCTGATCAGTGAACTCAGAGAATTTGATTTCAGGTATGCAACCTTATTTATGTTGAACACTGCAGTTGGCAACACGAGACTTTGACAGTTAAAAGATGAGGATTATGGTTTACGTAGCTGTCTTGCATGTCACTGGTGTCACTGTGGTCAGTCTCGGGTTTTTTGTTTTTGCTATGTTATTTACAGACCCTGTTACAGAACTATTTTGGAAGGGATTTGGTGTGTGTGGGGGGGGGAAAAGCAGCTTACCTTTATTTTTTTGTACTGTAAACTAGTGTCTCTGTTACTTCTGAATGCTATAGAATTTATTGCTTGTGTTCTTTATGCAATGAAATACTCTATATCTTCTGGTGGTGCAGTGTGATAATCCAATGTTGTTCTATTATATCTTACTAAATTTACACAAGTTTTAAAATCAGGAGTTTGATTTTCAGTTAATCGTTACTTGTTTGAAAAGTTCCTTTTTGTTTGATTTTCATTCCTCATATTTCCTCAGTACCCTTGTTTCTGTCAAAAGTATCTAAACATGAAATCTCGTTCTGAAACTTGTTGGTTTTCTTCCATCTTTCTGATACTTCTCAACTTCAGATTATAGTAGATGTTAGCGCATTTATCTCTGCAGAAATTTATGTTCTCTTTAATTAGCAAGTTAAACGTACTGAAAAGTTGTTCTTAACAGTCCAGTAATTAAATGGTAATTCTGAATGTATGTCTTTAAAACTATCGGCTAGAAAATCCTGGCAAATCAACAATAACTATCCACTGCTGCCAGTAAGGTTTTTTTCTTTTTCCTGATGGGTTTTTGTGGTTGGCAGAGATAAGCATGCCTTTTATATGTCCTTTGGTCTGTTTATTAAAAACACTCTGAATAATTAAACGTTGGTGTCCATGCTGTTAGAGTAGTTTTCAGCACCACAAATTCTGCTTCTCGGCAAACAGATACTTTTTAATGAAGATAGGTGAGTTTCCTGGACCTTGTTTTCCTTTGGACACATTAATAGTAGTAAGTAATGCATAAAAATGGACTTCACTGCTGACTTTACAGTTTTTGCATCCCCAGTTGTTAAATATTTTTTTCATAAAATACCTCTTCAATTGAAAAAGAAATAGGTTGCGTACTTAGACTGTGACGAGAAGAAAGAATATATGAATATTGAAAGTCAACCTTTTGTTGTTGAGGACAAAATAAGTGAGTTAATAATTATCCTAAAATACCTCTGCCAAAAGGTGTGACTTTTTCAAAGTAAATTCAAGTTTTCAATATCTTCAGATTTTTTTACAAAGTGTAATACTACACTAGTAGTTCAGAACCTTTCTGTATATTGAAAATTGGGAAATGTAAAACCAAAGCACAGGTTTCCCTGGAGAAGGGGGGAGAAATGAAGACTGCTGCATTTACCTTACTTTCAGTACTTTAACTCAGGAACACTCTAAGCAAACACTGAACAATTCACAGTTCTCAACGTAAAAGAGTGATTTACAGGGCTGAGAGGTTCAATTTAGTGAGCACCTAAATTTTTTATTGGGCTTTTGGTTTTGTTTTTCATAACTGTCTGATGAGAATGGCTGTTTGTTAGCGTGCTTTCCGACAGTGTTCCTGATGATGTAAAATTGGTCTGGCTGCCGGTGGTCCCAGCTCTTGCTTCCTACCCCGGGACCATCCCTGGCTTTATCCTTGCTCTGGGGAACTGAATTTCATTTGAATGCTTTTTTAACAAACGAAAAAGTAGTATATACACACACCCACCAGTGCAAAGGCAACATTTCTTGCTCAGTGGAGAACATCATACTATAGAACTTATAAATAAATAATGCTGACAATGAGTTTATCTTAACGCAGCAAGGAAAAGTAATGGATAACCTGTGTTTTTGGAATGGCAGTTCTTTAATGTTTAATCTTTTCCATTAGTATATATGCTCTGCATCTCAGAGAGATTAAAGTAGTGGGAAGAACATAACCTGAAATTTTGCCTGTTGTGACTGTGGATTGAACCTGTGGTAGGAAGCCTTTTTCAAATTGACCATGAAACCTCTAAAATACTGCTTATTGGAGTAAAGTAATTCTTATAATTTTTGTGATGTTTTCTTTTATTCTTGTAACTTTTTACACTGTGTTCAGTACTTTTTGGAAAGGTTTCAGCTGTGTGTTTTGACTGAAGAGCAAACTTTTGGGTCTCATCTCTTTGGGTCCTTGCTCAAATGCCATCTGTGGCAGGCCTGATGGGCCTTCAAGGGACAAACTTCATAGTCAGCGTTGCAGCAAACTGAACTGCTTTTAATCTTACTTGTTTCAAACAGATAGATATGTAAGAGAGCATTTGAAAATGTATTCTTCCAGTGTTTTAGCTTGTACCTTTAGAGTATGGGAACGTGGGGTGCAGCCAACCAGCCTAAAAGCAGCAGAGTAGATTTGACTGTAGCCTCTGGCGAGTCTTTCCAGTAGTAAAATAACATTGTTGCTTAATTGAGATTTTCTGATAGAGGGTGAGAAGCTGTGCTGAACTCTGATCTTTCAGCTTTTCAGCATATGTGGAATATTCTCTTGGTTACTTTGCCTTTATCTGGAAATCAAAGGGGCAAGTGCTGTTGTTTTTAAGTTGCACGCAGAAAAATTACCACCAAGTTTTGGCTTTTCTCTCTATTTGGGATAATATAGCAACATTTCTGTTCTGGGCATACTTATTTCATGCAGATGCAACTCTGTCTTACTGTGTCCATACGCATTCTTGTTAAACTCGCCACAGATGTTGCTGTTTACCAAATATAAAGGGTAGTCTATAGCAAGTAGTAACTAGAGAAAGACCTTCAACTGATAAAGGAGGTTATATCTCCTCAGTCATTTTGTATGATCATAAATTTTGTCATGCTGAAGGGAGGGAGAATCGTGAGGGGAAAAAAGTTTGCTACGTGAGACTTCTGGTATGCTGGTTTGTGGGAAGTGATTTGCATAATGATTCATCAGGAGTCCAGAAAAAACAGAGAGTATCTCATTATATTCAGCCTTCAGTAGACATGCCAGGCTTACTGCTGTTTAAAGGAGTCAGTGTCCTTACCTTTATAATTTAAACCAAAGCACCTTAAACCTGAAAAATGAACTAAAGTTTAAAAACAAACAAACAAAAACTTAGAAATGAAACCTGGGAACATTCTCAGACCATCACTCCAAAATCAGTAAAACTTCTAAGTAAATTCAAAGTAAAAATTTCAGTAATGTGTTTTACTTTTTAACTTGCTCATGTCTATGTGTGTGTTTGTGTGTACACATGCAAGCACGCACACACACAAACTTACTTTGAGGAAGTGCACATATGTTGATATGTTCCTGTAGGGAGAGGAAAAAAACCAGCAAAACAAATAAAAAACCCAATGTTTGGAGGAGAGGAGTGCTGTCAGTTTACAATGGAATTAGCTACTTACATGATTTTCCTGAATACCAATGGTATTACTGGTCTCAAAATCAGCAAAATCAGTACAGAGGCAACCTCATGAAATGCCTATCATGACTGGTAAAATTGAGATGCACTGTCTCACTCTGGATCTATTTTCTTCTCTTCAGCTTTGTGCTCTGCAAGCAGTAGCAACTTCTTTGTATTGCATGCATCTTACTAAAACTAACATTTGCTATATGTATCTTTATTTTTTCATCTCTGGCTCAGTGTCACTTAGAGGCGGTTTGCAATGTAGAATTTGGGTGTGTAAGTGCAAAGAATTAGTTTTACTGTTGAAAGGAGGGCTACAAATCCTTTTAGAAGGGGACCGATGTATTGTTTTCATAGGGCACACTGAACAGGGGTCATGCAGTGATGACTTGTCAGGGAGTTGGGTCACAGCAGAACATGTGTGAAGTTGTCTTCAGTGATGTTTAGCCACTGAATCTTCCGGTCTGACTTGTCCGTGCAATTTGAAACTCAGTTGTTACTTTGTCATATCAGGTGATAGAGAACGTTTGATTTGTAAGCCTTACTAGAATAAAGGAGGTAAAATGGGCTCTGTTGTGGCTATTGTGATACGTGCTTGTTGTTTCAGAATACTGGCATTTTTGCTTCTGAAGTACCTGCATATTTTGATGTACCACCCACTTTCAGCAATTTCTAACCAGTGCTCTTTTTGTGGTGATTATTCATCCTAAACTTTAAAAATCGGCATAGTTGTCCTGAACATGAGAGTGAAAATAATACAGCCTAATGAATTGTCAGCATTTTAATGTGGTATCCTTTCAAAAATCCCAACCTAAACCAACCAAACAAACAAAAAAACCCCCACCAAAACAAACCAACCATTACAGCACAATAGATAAGTCTTTTGAGGACTATTAAGAGTTGAATGAAATGAGTATGGGAATCAATTGTATACTTCAAAATGTGCTAGCTTTAATTTTATGTAGTAGCCTTTTGTTGATGCTTAAAACATTTTGCTTCTAGGTCAGCATGATGGACCTCTACCGCGGCAGCACGCCGGCTTGCTTCCAGAGTCTTTGATATGGGCATATATTGTGCAGCTCAGCTCTGCGTTACGGACCATTCATACAGCAGGACTGGCGTGCCGAGTTATGGATCCAACAAAGATTCTAGTAACAGGCAAAACAAGGTAATGAAAGCGTTCATCTCCCTGTGTACTGTGATCTGTGCTCATGGTAGCTGCTGACCATGCATCTGTTATGGAAATAACAAAGTCTAACTAGAAAAGACTGTTATTTTTAACTGTTATGAGACTAAAAAGGAATATATGCTAAAACTTGTAAATTTGTTTTAAAGTTAGTTTTAAACATATTTTTGGAAGACTTACGCATTATCCTCAAAATACTGTTCAGATTCCCTACTGACAATTTAGAAATTTGTTGATTTATTTGTAAACTGAAAACTGTCTGTTGCATTTTATCAAATAGTAAAATTAGTGTTCTCTGCTTCATAGTAATTTGCTGACTACTGATGACTTTTTTTGTCATATCAAAGCATTCAGTGAATGCTAGAGGAAAAACTGAGTAACCAACAGAATTTAATGCTACTTCTTCCTTTTCTCTTCTTGTTCCTAAAGGTTACGAGTTAATTGTGTTGGAATATTTGACGTTTTGACATTTGACAACAGTCAAAATAATCCACTGGCATTAATGGCTCAGTTTCAGGTAAGACAACAGTTAGGCTGGTGACTTGGCATGGGGAGTACTGAAAACTGATGTGATTCCTTTTGGAAGACGAGTAGTTTAATTAAACTGTAGTCCAGTATATCTATCTCTAAATGACTGTATTTTTTCATTCCTGGTTTGATGTTGGATCAGCCATGCATTATTCAAATTTGCTTGTAATTTCAAAATGCGAAGGCTCATTTTGCTGTCTTCTGCTTCTTAAATTTCAGCCAACTCACCAAACAGGTTGAACTATTAGTATTTAACAAACTTAAGTCAGAAATGGTTGGAAATAATGGATTTCTAAAGGAAGGAGAAGAAAAATCTTACATTTAGTGTTAGACATCAAAATGCTTCAGTAACAGTTTTTGCTCTGCTATATCTTTTCTTATTTTAAGAAAAATAACTATGTTGAATACCTGTTCACAGAGGAGTAAGAGATCTTTTAAATAACTGCACCTAGGCCTTCTCCTCACTCCTAAAAGGTTCTAGTGTATCTTTATTTTAGGCTGCTATTTTTTCCTTGCTCTCCTGGCGTTCTCTGAAGTGTGGACTCTGCATAATTCCTGAATTAAGAAGAATCCCTTTAGACTTAACAAAAACTGTTCCACAGTCATCTGGAGCATCACTGGGCAGAGGAGT